ATGTCTTGCGATCGAAGCGTTCGCGGAACCAGGTCGTTTCGGGGGGGTCGGGACTTGGTCCCGTTGAAGTTTCCGTTCAAGGAATTGTTTGAGGATTGGGATTGCAACCCTTTTCACAGTGGGTGCCCCCCCTCTTGGGGAAGACATTTATTGTTACAGTTGCATTGTGCATTGTTTGAATGTTTCGTTCATTGAATGCTTTCGGTCCCATCGATGTTGCCGAGGAATGATGACCGAGATGGAGCGCCTCTGCCTTATCATGTGCCTGGTAGGTGTGGGCAACACGGTCGCTGCAACGTTGCGGCTCAGCTGCAACGGTGGGTCTTCAGTGAGCCGAGAATGGGACAGTCACCAGCATGCCAGCAGTCGGGGTGCCGGAGGATAGGGGTGCCCAGAACATCCACTGCCACACATGGATCCACTGACTCCAAACCACCCAACTCCAATGTGACTCTTGGTGGCTGGAAGTCATTTGGGTGATTCACCCAAGGATCTAAGAACTCCCACGTGTTCTTTCACCGGAGGCCCGCGCGCCGCCGACTCCCAGACTCCGCGCTACTCCTCGGCGCTTCGGCCGGCCCTTTCCGCGCCCGCGATGTTCGAGGCAAGGCGCCATGTTCAAGATCTTCAGCGAGCGACAAGCCAGGCGCGACAGTCACCGGGCGCGCTCGGCACGCGCGCGCGCGACATGAGGTCCGGCCGGCCCTGGCGTGCCGCGCCGGAATCGCATGCGAGCGGACTTGGAACTTCGGAGTCTCTGAAGTTCGGTGAGTCGTGTTGACAGAGAAAGGCAACAAAAGGTGTGGCGAATGCCACTCGGATGTTGACACGTTGAGCGGAATCGCTGCGTTTCAGTGTGGCTGGATGTCACACGCGAGTCACGGCAGGAAATTCCGCATCCAGTACTTTGACTTGGTGCTGCACCAGGCCGGTTTTCAGAAAGCCATGTAGAGCATCTCCAATTTGGAGGTCCGAAAAAGTGATGAACTTGGGAAAAGATACGCGGATTCACTGTTGTTTTTGCTGCCTTTCAGAAGCTCTAGATTCGGAAGACAGGTGGCAACATTGCGGCATGACATTTATCCATGTTTCATATCTTCTTTGACGGCAGGCCAAAAAAACACATGTGGGCCATATCCCCATCTAATTAGGCGAATCTACATTCACATGACCAACGCAAGACTGAGCGGTTGGCGAACCACCCCCATTCGCGATCGATCCAGGATGTGAGCTGGTTCGATCTCAAGGAGATCGCAGCGCTGCCGGCGGAGATCAACGATGACCTGGCGCTTTGGGGGGCCTAGGGCCGAGTGGGAGACATGAAAAGGGGACTTCCAGAGCAACCAGTTCCAAGGGAATGGTCAACTTAGTCAACTTTATAGTCCTTACTACCTTACTAAGTCAAGTGGTTGGCTAGCAGTGACTGCAGCAGGCACCCCGACTTCCTCCAAGAAGAGCACCCCAATCAGGGAACTGCTGGTATACCGTGGGGGTTTTAGATCAGACTGACTTATAAGGTTTTGCCAGCGCCATGACCTTCCTGAAGTGTCGGTGTTTCAGTCTCCCGCCTGTGGGTTAAACTACTCGTATTTGGTGAAAAAAACCGCATGCTATGACAAAAAGATGCACTGCAACAGACGTGCAGTCTTACCCATCTCTGGACCCTCAAGGACTCACCAACCACCCCAACCACCCTATACCCGCGCGCGCGCGCCATCTGGACGACCCTGAAGAGGAGAAGATCCAAGACGCTTTCGGCGACAAGTTCGGGAACGGTGTGATGTCGGGGTCGGCGTTCATCGGTGGTTTCGCCTGTGCCTTTGGACTGGGCTGGCTGGTGGCGCTGGTGATGTGCGCCATGCTTCCCTTCATGGGCGTGGGTGCGGCGATCATGGGAAAGGCGCGGGCCGGCGGTTTGGACCTTTGGTTTTTTCGGGCGCCTGCGGATCAAACACCCAAGCAGGTCTCGCATCAAACACATGTGACACATCGTTTTTTCATCGTGGGGGTCATGGTGTTCTGACAGGGGTGGCGTCCGCATGCGTCCGCCCTTCAGCTCGGTGGCTTGGTGACCTACGCTTTGGGCAGAGGAAATTGACATGGCCCTATATAGCCGATGAACTCACTAAGATGGAAGTAGATCATGGAAGTAGATGGCATTGGCCGTTGGAAGGCTCCTTTCCTTTAGGGAACTCCACTTCCATGATCACTGTGATGTGTTCGTCGCAGCGTCGTTGATTTCATGGTCCATCAGCCTCCGACGCGTCAACGCATCAACCAGTCCGGAAGGGTTGGACTCTTCGTTCTTCGCCCCATGAGCCTCGTGCATTTGAAAGACTCGTTTCCTTTCAAGAACCAGACATATAATCTTACATGGAGTATTGGAGGATCATTTGATGTTCATCCTGAGCCCCATGTTCAGGTTGGACGATTTGGTTCAGGGCTTGGAAGTGAAGCCGGCGCTCGTCTCGAGCGGTGTTCTCCGTCAGGCCGTGCAAGAGATCCAGATGGAGTCGCAAAGTTGGTATGCCAAAGCGGCCGCCGTGGTGGAGGACACCAGTCGAGACCGTGTGTGGCGGACCTGCAGAAATCAAGGGATTTGTCCTAAAACGACGTAGATGACGTGAATGTGCATGGATCTTAGCCTAAGATGCCTGACCACATCGAACTGGGTTTCGCAGTGACAGCGGGCCAAAGGTAGGGCAAAGATCAGGGCGTTTGACGCAGCAGCACTTCAGTGCGTTCGCTGGGGAAACCGCGCAGAGTAGTTCAGCGAAACTGGCCGAATCGAACTTGGCCATGTACAGGTCGGATGAGTTGATGGCGGGTAGCGGTCGACATTTAACATGATTCTTTCACGATGTGAAAGCAAAGTAATGTGCGGGGTTTAAACCTTATAGTATTCTAAACAAAGGTCTCTAAAATTCTCAAAGACATCGATGAGCAAAAGAACATCAGTCTTCAAGTATAAATCGCGGTATTGTCCAAGATTTCTTATACCGAAGTGTTCCCAAATCATTTTTGCCCTTTCGATCCCTTTCGTCTTCTTCATCTGCAATGTGTTCTTTCGTGAGCTTACTCATTTCCTTTTTAGGTGGAAGTTGTCTTTCATCAAATTTTTCAAAGCTATCAAAGTAGTCATACGGATAAACCCCTTTGTCAGTCAGTAAGTCCAAAATCCTCGTTGTTGCTGACATAGGGGTTTCTCTTGCTGAATTTGAACCTTTCTTGCCAGTGCTCTCTCTTGTTGTCCTCCGCTTTGTATCGTTGCTCACGTTCGGCCCGCCGGGTTCTCACGTGTTCGGAGCCGGTGACCTGCAGCGACGTTCGGGTTCACCGCGGGTTCCCTGCGGAAGTTGTCCTTCGGTTCGCGTGCATCGCGAGGAGTGCCTCTTCGCGATGCGCACGGTGGTCGCCTTCGGTGGTGAGTTCCGAGAGCTGAAGAAGTTCGGAGAGGCGCTGGTGCACACGCGTCGAGGCCGGGTGTGTCGTGAAGACCGGTGTGTCCTTCTTTTTCTTGTGTTGTGTGCGATGATCCCTGATGTGTTGGTCTTCTTTTTTTGGAGGGGGGTCCGGGTGAGAGCAAGGTGCAGGTTTGGTGTTGTGGAGGGAGGCCAGGAAGGACCTAGGAAGGAAGCGAGTCTGAGTCTGAGGTGAAGATCGCGAAAAAAAGGGTCCGAATGAGAGGCTGAGGGATTTGGTCGTGGAGTGACGTGCATTCCACGCTGCGCGCGCTTAAGCGCAGGTGGTGTGCGAAATGGCTTCAAGATTGGAGCTGGCATGGGCTACACGATGATTGTGCGCAGCAGGGGCGAAAGCTGGGATTCCGGTGCTTCAACTGGCCTCCTTTCGCGTTCTTCATATGGATTTTGTTTTTTAAATATGCCTGTAATTATCCGCCTTATATATTCCTTCAGCTCGGCATGTCACCCTGCTCACGACACGCCGTGTCCTGTGTTTCCGCAGCCACTGCAGGTGGTCTTCTTCGGCTACGCTTTGGCGTTTTGGTTCGGCATGACCTTGCGCTACAACGGAGCTTTGAACCCCTCCACGGGGAAAGAATGGCAGCCCGGCAACATCATGGCCATCTTCTTCTGCGTCTTCATTGGCAGCTTCATGCTGCTCGGCAGCTCTGGGAAGCCAGATGTAAGAGAGAACGTATAAGAAAGCAAGACAATTTAGGAATACTTAGAGAAAAAAGCAAAGATAACATGAGAAAAAATAAACACGAGGCGTTTCCAAGACCTTTTGGAAGGAGCCGAGAGGTTTTTGGTCATAAAGAGGCTCATTCCAAACGCTGACCCGTCTCTCCAGAGCACGTGGGGGAAAAGATAGAACAGGAACAGTTGCACGGGCCTGATCAAGCAAAAACAGGGAAGCTGACACACCCCTCACTGACGTCTGTCGACGCCAAGCCTCAACTCACTTCATCACTATCTCACTGCCTCTGTTGCCATCGCCCGCAGGGTGGGCAATTTGGACCCCAGCATCAAGGCCATGCAGGCCGCACGCATGGCAGCCGGCCGTTTCTTCAAGGCGACCGGGCTTCGCGTTGTCCGCCATGGCTCGTGCCGCGAGTGTGACGCGACAGGTGTGACGGGTGGTTTTGAATGGTATTTGTGGTGTGTAATGTTTTCTTTCATCGTTTTTGTTCTTTGCTCGGTGATTTTGGTGGCAGGGTGAGGTACATCCCACACTCCCATAGGGCCATAGGGATGCAAGAGTTGACATTCGATACGTGTAATATTGTGGCTCTTGCTTCAGTATTTCTTGTATCTAAATTAAGTCTAACCAGCTGTTCAGGTGCTATAAACAGATGGAAGTTCATGGACTTGTTGGCCTTTGCTCGGAGTGGACTCCGGGTTTCGTGCTTTCGTGCCCTTTTAGGTCAAAGAGAATAAGCCTGCTATCCAGTGCTATGGTGCGGATGGTCGACAGGACAGTGAAGCCATTAATGGCCGCCATAATAGAGACAGAGAGAGAGAGAGAGAGATTTCGTGACTGCCTCAAGCCATATCAACCTCCTCAAGAAGGATTGAGGATTGAGATGTTCTTCTTTTTGGGGTATGTTCAGATGAGAATGGAGATGCACATGATGGTTTTGATCAGTTGGCAGGCATACGCACGAATTAGAAACATGTCCAACGAACCAAGCTTGACTTCCCTTGAGGAGATCTCCAGCATTGAGAAATTTGAGTTCCAGTCGGTTCACTTCAACTACCCAGTGCCATGGCAGCAACATTTGCCAACCAGCCGATGTTGCAAAGATTCTGGACATGTGATGTCCTGGATCTGTGTCATTCAGCTTAGTCTTCAGGCATCAGCCCTTCAGGAGCTTTGCTGGAGTGGCATGCGGCCAGAACAACCTCATTTGTATAGATCCATCTGAGGGGGTGCCCCATTAGCCGTAACAGTCGGCGAAACACCTGTGCTAAGCATCATCATCCACTGGGCCCAGGGAATAGGATGATGATATATACCCAAGATCCATCCATCCCAGATCCCTCCAGACGCGAAGACCGCGAAGATATCCCTTCCAAGAACACCTCCCAACCCGAACCCCCCTCCGAACCCCACCTCCGGGTCAGTGCCTATACGAACACCCACGCGACATGGGTTCAGAGCACGAACAAAACCCGCCGTTGGGTCCCTGCGCATCCGAACAGCATGGCCCCGGCCGAACCACGGACGTTCGCCGCTCAAGGCACGCCCTGAAGTGAAGATTCTGAACGGTCTGTCCCTCACCGTGCAGCGTGGGCAGAAGGTGGCCGTGGTGGGCGAGTCCGGCTCGGGCAAGTCCACCGCGCCTCGGCGTCCGACCCGGTCGTAGCGTTGGTCCGGTGCGTACGCCGCGCTCGTCGCGTCTCGTTTGTACGTGGAGCTTCTTCAGGTCATGGCACTGATGGAGCGCTTCTATGATCCAGCCTCCGGTGTGGTGATGGCACCTTGGTGATTTGTCGGGTCGGTCGGTCCTACTTTGGCCACCTAGAATTTCCGTAGTGGCAGTGGTCTTAAAAGGTACGTGCCGGGCGCACCTCATGGCTGATGTACTTTTAAGGTCCCGGACCTTAAGTACCGCTATGGATGCGTCCGTCGTATGTGTGCCCAATAAAGACTGACCATGTGCGCTGTAAACTGTGGGACCGTGAGAAGCCTGAGAAACCATGAGCAGGACTTAAAAAAGAAACTGTGGGACCTTGAGAAACCGTGAGAAACTGTGAGCAACCGTGAGCGGGCCTTCAGCAGCACTGCGATTGTTCAAAGCTCTCAACTAGATCTATCTTTGCTTTGGGTCGTGCAGCGCTACCTATCAGAGGATGGAAAAAATCAAAGCTGTTTTTGGACAAGGGGAAAGGAACCAAGGAACAGCTGATGCAAAACGGGCAGCTGATGGGACCCCATGTTATAGTTTTTCGGCCGTGGAAGTTCGGCGTTGACACGATTTTTCGGCGAATGTACTTTTCTAGGTCCACTTCGGCTGAGGACTTGCTTTGTAAGGTCCCAGGACTTCGAGGGTATTGTATATAAGAAACACCGATGAATGAAACCTTGGTGATGGCGGTTTTGTTTTTTTTAATGGCACCAATGGGTGCTTCGAAGCCACCGCAGCTGCGACGAGAAGACATCGTCGTGTCGACTCGGCGGGCCGACCAGACGCCAGACAGACGCCAGACAGACCCCCCTGGCACCACCCCTGGCCTTTTCTGCAGTCCGACATGGCAGTCCCAGACGCGTCGTGCCTGGGGTATACTGAAAGGATACGCGTGCCACCGATGGGCAGCGGCGTGCCATCCTTCAGGTCTTCGGGATCACGCCCGCGTGGACCCAGCACGGTCTCAGGTCAATGGCCACGATATGAAGACCTTTAAGATCAGCTCTTTGCGAAGGCTCGGTGGACGGCGAGATGGGCCAAAATCGAAGGCGAGAGGTCGACCTAGGTGTGGATGAAGAAAACATCAATTGAACAAGAAGAAGAAGAAAAAGAAGAAGAGGAAGATTAAGGAAGACAACAGCGGAAAGAACACTACAAGTGACAAAGAACGATACCGGTAAACAGCTGACGGCCTGTCGGTTGTGGTGATTCCCCAGCCAGCACCACCAGGTGCATTGGCTACGTGGGACAAGAGCCCGTTCTGTTCGCCAGCTCCATCAAGCACAACATCATGCAGGGCAATCCAGATGCCTCCAAGGCGAGCAGTTTTTCGGGCTTTTGGGGGTCCAAACGAAGAAAAAACAATTATATAGCATAATCATATCGTGTTAGTCGAATGATTATGGCAGTGGGCTACCAGCGGGGTCAACCTACCAAGGATTCCCAGGTGCCACGGTCTTCGAGTTTCATGATGGCCATGTGACGTTTTTTCCTGCTTGATTGGATGAAAGAGGGTGGAAGCCTAGAGGGCCAAGAGAACATTCAAGCAACGCAATCTCCAGACGACCTTCCCATCAGAACACGCATGGAAGTCTTCCCATCAGAACTCTACTTCCATGCGATGTTGTTCCAAGGGTATGGTGCTCGAGCCACCCCAAAATCATTGGTACCGTAATTCATCAGGCCTCTGGGCCAAGTCTTCCGTGCCAGGAAGACTTCATTCAAGCCTGTGCGGATGCACAGCTGAACTTCGTGGACACCTTGCCGGAGAAGTACAACACCTTCGTGGGAGCCGGGGGTGGTCAACTGTCAGGTGCGGACCGAACGAACGGGGTCGAACGGGGTCGGACGTGTGCGTGCAGTTGGTTGGTCAGGTGTTGGGGCATGTCGACACCTAGATCGTCACCGTCAGACGGATTCCTTTGCTTCAAGGAGCGCCGCAACAGATGTTTTCCTTGAGGGGTACCATTCCTCAAGGCAAACTCTTGCCGTGCCTGGAATCGCAGCGGTCACGGACCTGAAGAATAAACCGACCAGAAGTTAAAAGATGTTGGCCCAGTCCCTGCCACTTTCTATCATATGTAAATTGGATTATCAAGCTGGCGCCATAGCGGAAGCAACCATTTGGTTTCTGCTTGGGACTGGGCTTCCAGACCTCAACACTGTGTAGACAGATCCTTGCAGAAGCAGAATCGATCCGTGAATCTCCATGTTTTGGTGAGCCTTGAATCATGCAAAACAGGATCCAAGGTACCGGTAAGACTCTTGATGAGTGAGTCCACCCCTTTTGAATTGGTCCTCTCGAGGCTTGGGGGCGGCCCCATTGATCAAGAGTCTACATCAAGGTTCCGTCGGTTCGGACGTGCACAGCCGCTGAAAGTGTCGTTGGGCTCCTCCCAGGTGGGCAGAAACAGCGCATTGCCATTGCCCGAGCCCTCCTCAAGAAGGCACAGACTGGCTGAAGCGCATGTCACATGTTGGCTGGTCGTCCATGTTTGTCACATGTTAATGCGGAAAAGATGATGTTGCGTTTTTTAAGCCGTTTGTCTTTCAACTTTTGTATAGACCTTCATTCCTTCCTTCCTTCCTTCCTTCCTTCCTCTTTTTGCCTGGTTTCAGCGCGTTATCACCAGTGTCCTGTGGGTGTCGTTCGCTTTATGTCAGTGTCCTGACGCTCGCAGTCTGCATCGCATGGGAGATGAGGTGTCCTTCCTTGTACCCCCCGGTAGACCAGTCTAGGCATCCTTCCTCTTCTTGGACGAGGCGACCAGTGCATTGGACGCCCGGCGTTTCTTCGTGATGGCGACGATCGATCCGGCTGTGGTGGAAGCAACTGCACGTCGAAGCAACTGACAGAAAGCTTATGGATAAACTGATATAGGCTAATAAGTTTTGCAGACATGACATCAGAGCCAAGAGCATTCGATTCTATCACATCCAAGGACAACACATCAGAGAAGATGATTCAGCAGACCATTGATAGCATCAGCTGCTTTGCGGCACAACTATGGTGATAACGTCGCACTTTGCTACTAGTAGAGCTTGTCCTCGTTCACACGAAAGGACAAGCTCAGATTTTGATATGGAAGACGCTCCCCCCAGATGGATGGACCATTTGGCATTATAGTTCCCTAGAGCTCCAAGTACCTCCTTAGAAGGTATTTGGACCCTCTAAACCCACCCCAAACACCTTCTAAGAAGGTTCTTGGAGCCCCACGGGTTATTTTTTGCAGCCATTGACCGTGGCATGTGTTAAAATGCCGGACGCATGTCCGTTTCATTCAGCGTTTTGGCTTGCTCTTTCGAACCAGGACGCCCCCAGAAAAGAGCACATTCCAGTTGGATTTCTGGTGGATCCGCGCTTCTCTTCCTCTTTCCGGTGCGTCCTGTGAGGCTCCAAATCCGAGAGTGGTCTCGGCATTGTGAGCATCGCCCACCGTTTGAGCACGGTGCGCCCCTTGGCGCCGCAAGAGCACCGAAGACACGCGGTCTCGACGCGGGGAGCGCGACGCGGGCCGCCCGCGGAACGACGCCGAAAATGCCCAGGTTCGGAAAGCGTCGGGGCTTTGAAAGCACATGAATGCACTATAGGCCATCCAAAGCTGTTCTGGAGATTGGGGCCATGGGTCATTGGGGTGAATGCAGCGTCTGCAATGTATATAATAGGTTGGAAGTACTCATTCCCAGAGTTGAACAAGAATCTGGTCTATTCAAAAATTGCATCGGATTGAGCCTTTGTTTCCAAAATTCAGTATCTATGCAAGCACCCTGACTGCCAAGGCTCCTTTGGAGGGGTGTTAGGCTTTGTTTGTTGGAAGTCTCTATTGACCTGTTGGATGGTGCTGGTATTTGTCTAGTCAATTTCAGCCTTTTCGCTGGTGATTTAGATGAGAAGGCAGAAGTGTTGCGCAGTTGGACGTCCGTCTGTGTGCCTGGATCTCCCAACTATGTTAAACTGGAGCGGAACGCATGCCTTTAACATCAATTAAAACCAGCAAGTTAGCTGGAGCCTCAAAGTACCCCGGAAAATGGGTACAAGTACCTGTTTTTATAGGGCCATGTCCCATTTTTTAGAGTACTTGAAGTCGGGTCCAGGTATATGTTTTGCAAGTCTTCTCCCAAATACGACGTGTCCTAGCTACATCGAACCGAATTACACCGTACATCTACATGGGTGTAGACACCGATCAAGGCACCGCCCAGCGGCGTGCTTCAGCACCCAAAAGGATGCAGAGAGGAAGGAACTATATATAGGTTGAAAAAGGACATTCCGAACCAGAACCACAAGGACATCAACGAAGGAAGCAAGAATCATCTTGTCGAACCAGAAGTAGAAGAACAAAAGGACATCAACGAAGGAAGCAAAAAGGAAGAACCTGGTGCTTCAACCATGTTCAAGAAGAGGCGATGTCGTGATGACTGACGCGCTGAGGCAACGCAGACCTGATCTACGTGCTGAGTCAGGGATCGCTGGTGGAGAAGGGTCACTGGGTTTCCCAACTTTCCGCGACGACAGCGGATTTCGGTCGACACTTGAGGAGTGATCGATGTATAATATAGAGGAACTTAGAGGATATCGGAGCCAAACCCCCAAAGGGCGAGGCCCACTGACGATTTCAGGAGGCGTGAGGCCGGTCCGTTTTCTACGTCGGTGGCGTTCGACGCCGCGGCGCCGTCGGCGCGTCAGAACGAGGCAACCATGCGAGCCTCATGGACAAGAAGGGTACCTACTATGCGCTGGTGGCTGCCCAAGAGTCCTCGGAGAAGATGGAGGACGGAGCGGGGCCCGGCTTGGGAGATGTAGGGATCGATGTGGAGAGAGGTAATTTGTGTGGATGGGGTGTGGTGGACAGCTGACCTGGTGGAACCACAGGTAAGATCATGTAAGTAGGGGGTCTCTTGTAAGGTTCTCCCAAAAAGTCGGAGTTTTCGGGTTCAGGATGACCTCTCTGGCTTGGGAGAAAGATGACCTCTCCGACCCAGCCTCTCCGACCAAGTCGGACCCATGTGTTAGTGTATTGACTGACATTGGTCCTGGTTGGTTGGTGGCAGGTGACGTGGCAGGCGTTGAAGGTATGCCAGCTTTGTCGCACTTGGCTTTGTCGCCTGAACCGACTCCTGTGTAGTGAGAGCTCAGGAGAATGACCAGCCAGGGCTTCCTCATGAACACACCTCGGCGATCCTGCAGAGGAGGGATTCGGAACATAGCGCTGTGCCTGGCCAGCTTCATGGACGGGACGGTTTTTGACCGCTGGCCCACCCAGGTTCCCATGACCTCAGACATTCCAGTGGAAAAGCACCACCACCTTGGAAAAATCCTTGAAATGGATGGTCATGAGAAAAGCCCAAAGAAGCCACTTGTTTCCTGGGGGACAAGCCCCGAAAAACCTTCCCGGTGACTCTCCTGGTTCGGGGGCTTTCCAGCCCATGCGCCGATCGCCACCCGTTCGATCGGCTGACGTGAAGAAGGCTCGGCTTGTCCTCCCTTCGGTGCGTCAAAGATGGTCACAGTTGAAGTCCGGCCATGAACGCACCACCTCCAAGCCGCTTCGCTCTGGACCCGACGTAGATGGGGGGGCCGAACCCCCGGTCGTCCCGAAACGAAACGAAACGGTGGCGACGGGACGTCGAAGCGCACCGTGAACCTCTGCCTTCGGAATCGGAGACGGGCCTCAGGAATCGGAGACGGCACGCGTGCAACGGGAGAAGAAGGAAGAAGAGGAGCGAGCGAAGAAAATCGAGAAGGAGTACAAGGTGCCATGCTCTTCGAAGGTCACGGCCAATCCACCTGTCAAAGCTATCCGTGGCCCTCTAGACATGTGTACATGATGTGTATCAGGAATTTCCAAGGGGTGTCCTGGCTGGACTACCCCACACCACCTATAGGCTTCCAGACAGGGCCACGGTTTTGCCCCTGAAATGAAGCCCACGAGGAATAGGGCATGTACAGGCACTTGTTACTAGTAAGGCACTTGTTCCTAGTAGCGATGCCAGGAGCCCCGTTCGTAGAGCGATGCCCTTTGCACATGGGTATGCCTCGCAAATGGGTTTCACCATGTTTCACCACAGCTCCTGGGCGCACAAGGTACAATGAAACAAACAGCGTGGTCTGCGTGTAAAGAAGATAGACCAAACCAATTGGTCCTGCGTTCGTTTCCTTTCCTTCAACAGCCCGACACCTGCTGGAACAACGTGGTGTTCCTCCCCCCTTTAACCAAAAAACAAACATCCAAACCTGGTCGTGTTGGACCCGGTGGTGGTGCCACAGCATTTCGCGAAACGGAACGTGAGCACATCAGGTGCCCATGTCGCGACTGTTGAGCTACAACCGTCCCGAGTGGCCCTTCTTTGTGCCAGCGGTGTTGGGCGCATTGCTGGATGGTGCTGCCATGCCGGCTGGGCACCTCAAGACGAGAGAGTCGGGGTTGGCGGTCAGAACTGCAGTTCGGTGTGTGCGGGATAGTGCAGGTGTTGTTCGCAGATGCTTCACGCTGTCCATCTAGTTTGACCTTTGGCGCCACGTCTCACTGGACCACTCGATTTCAACGTCCAAGCCGACCGCCGAACCGCCACCGTGGTTGACGTCGTTCGTCGTTCGTCGCAAGGTTTGCACGGTGGCACTCGTTGGATCGATGGATGCCTTCTTCAAACCCGACAAGGCGCGTGGGTTTTGTGCTCGGCGTGTGTCAAGTGGCCGGAAACGTTCTTCGACCTCGCTGGTGGAAGCCGGATGTTGACTCTAGATTCTAGTAGCCTGAAGGGTGGTCCCTCAAGAATGGCCACCTTTTGGAACCGTCTCGTTTCCACTCTCAGCTGATCGACTGTTGAAGATGGAGCTGGGCCGATGACGACATCAGAGCCTGCACAAGGGCACAGTGGTGTCACTCAGAGCGTTTTCAAGCGTCAGCTGCTCTGTCCCGACTCCTGTCCACCCCAAAAGGCGCACCCTCAGTCCACCGAGAAAGGGGAAGACGAGGATCTCCTGTTTTTCTCGATCTTTCTAGGAAGAGATGAAAGCCGAGCTGGAGTTGATGGCTGCCGCGGCCTCGGTGTGTTTGCCCACATGCACCACTGTCGTCCCTCAACATGCTGCAAGCCACAGCAAGGGTCCTGAGTCCTGAGCTCTATCAGTATAATGGTCCTGGGTCGTAGTGGCTACATGCTTGCAGAATGGCCGAACAAGGGGGCTGCCTTGCGCAGCGCCCATGTATGCCCGAGATCATTTTCGTCATCATCGGCGTGAGCTGCTTGATCGGGAGCACCATCTCGTATCTCGTCCTACTGGGTGGTGGTTTCGGATATTTTTACTTTCAACCGATTTACTTGCGATAATTGAGCCCACTGAATAGTTTTCAAGTGAACTGAAACCACCAACCAGCCTGGTTCGGGCGATCCTCTTCACTGTCGGACTGGAATGCTACATGGTACATGGACCCCCCCAAAAAAGACGACGACGACGACAACAACAACAACACCCCTGGCCTGATTGGTACATACCTGGCGCTCACCAGTCCCAACCCCACTTTGCCATTTGTTGGCGCAGGGCGGGTTTTCCCCTTCCATTCTCCTTGGAGTGGTGCTCTGAAGGAGCTGTTGCCGGCCCGGGCTTCCGTCTTCTGCTGTTGCCGGCAGCTCAGGCATGGCTGCTTCTCCATTTTGGGTGAGGCGATGACCCAACGCTTGCGCGTGGCCATTTTGACGTCCATGTTCCGCCAGGAGGGCGACCTTATCGGATCGGGACGCCATTTCCAAAGCGGCGATGCGCGTGGGAAGCGACCGGTTTGGGCCGGGGGAGACTGGACGAGCTAGTGCTTAGGATGGTTTGAATCAGGGAGCGGCTTCAAAGCTGGGGGGGTTCAACTCATTTCTCCTCCAAAGCAGCCGAGGGCCCAGCGAGTTCCACGAAGCGGCTTGTCGAATCGGCTGGTCCTACGCATTGGTCCTCTCCTTGGCTTCGCGGACGACGTCCAGTCTTTCGACCGCCGATTCGACACAGGAGGTGGGCTATCACGACAATCCTGAGAACACCCCAGGCCGGCTGACATCATACCTGGTTGCTCCATGTTACTGTTAGAAAGCAAAGGAGCCGACCTCAGGTTTGCTGGGCTTGCTGTTTGCTGGGCTGGCAGTGGCGTAGTTTCTCCACGTGGAGGAAGCACGTGTTGGACACCATGTACAGCTGCTCCCCCCACAAGTCAAGTGAAACCGACCGGGCCGGGCCCCGGTGAACCCGACGTCGACAACCCGACTGACTTCTGGCAGGTATGCTGTCCAAGGCATTGGAACTGTGGGCCTTCCGGGTGGCCACCTTGTGCAAATCCATTCAAGCGAAGGCCAATGCGATGTCGCACGCGCCGACGTGAGGGAGAGTGAAAAAGCACGTGTGAACAAGCGGACGGCGTGAGAATGTCTCACGGACGTCACACAAGTCCTTGGTGTCGTTCTCTTGGAATGATTGCTCGGAGGATTCTGAGAGACCCTATAGGTGTAAAAGGGAGGCTGGTGTTCTTCTTTCGCCGCCATGAGCTCAAGAGACTGTGAGTTCCATGCTTCAAGTATTGTAAATTTATTCGCCTACTAGGTCCCATGATAGCCCCCAGTTGTTTAATGTGTTATACATTTATATGTTTAAGACTGACGTCACCGCTCCTCTTTCACCAAGTCTCCCTCCACTTTTGGCGACGTTCGTCGAGATGGTTCGGTGGTTCGTGCGTGTGGCGAGCTGTCGAAGGGGAGGGAAACAAGCGGCTTGCAGAAAGAAAAGAACACACGTTTACTGGTCTATAAAGAGGCAAATGAGAGGAGAGCAAAGGTCCAAATGGTTCATCTACAAGAAATGCAACAAGAGAAGGAGAGTGGGCTTGTGGAGAGTGCGGCACTAAGTCACTATATACACTATAAGGTCACTACACTGGTCGATATCGGAGTTTTTCTCTTTTTTTCCGGTTTCGGTTTCGGGCCCCACTCCTCCACCAGGCTGCTGCCATGAGCTCACTGGTGGTGGGCTTGGTCTTGGCTTTTGCATACTGTTGGCAGATGTCTTTGGTGATGTTGGGTTCCATCCCTGTCATGGCCCCACAGCTGCATCTGGATGTTTGGAAACGCACGAGAACGTCGCGTGTCCACCGGAAGAACCAATTGGAAACGGTGCCATGACTGGCTTTCACAAGCATTTGGTGTTTATTATCTTTGCTTGCAAATTTAGAGGATCCTGTCACCAAAGCACGTTGCTGGGCTTGATTAGTTTGACATTGAGATACATTGAACTCAAAAACCGCACACGTGTTCTGCCACCGATGAGTTTGTGCTAGATTTTTCATGCACCTTGCACTGTTGCACTGCACATCTCAAGTGTTTCTGGCAGATTCTGGCGAATGCCATCCAGATGATGGTGCTGCTGGGTGCTTCGAAGAATGAGCATCCTGGCAAAAAAATTGAAGATATAAGCGGAACAATCACCTAGTTTGGTTCCCTTTGGTCGAGTGAATGGGGTTGCGTATTGTTGACATGGCAAGCCAGCTCTTTAAAGTCTTCGAGGGCTTAGGCTTTTCTTTTACACATGAGACCGGCGGTTCACACGGTTCCTTGTTCCAAGGGGCTTTGTGCCTCAAAGACAGGAAGAGGGACCTGTTAACATGAGGTGTCCGCCTCTGGTTCGTCGCGGCACGAAAACCCCCCCCGACGATTCGGGACCGCGGCGACCGCGGGACCCTCGAACATCCTGTTTGTTCAGCACATGACCTGCTGGTCCCACCCTGCTTCGGTGTTCACCGGCTTCTCCAAGGAAACTGGGGACCAGGCCCAACGAACCAGGCCCAAAAATGGGACAAACAACTGTCACCTTCTTCTCTACCACCGGTTTTCCTGGAACAGGGCGTACCTGCTGAACGGCCCTGACGTCTGAAGAAGTTACCGCGCAACCGGCGGTCCGGCTTCCGCAGGAACACGAACCTGAAGAACGCCCAGCAGATCGTCACCGACTCGGTGATGAACGCACGCACCGTCCAAGCCATGGGCGTGGAGAAGTCGTTGGTGGCGATGTACGTGGGTGGCTTGGTGGATCCACCGGGTGCTCCCGGGTTCGGTACGGGAGCACCGGCTTAGGACAGTGTCGAAGACATCACCGTAGTTGAGGAGGTAGTGGGCATCCCAGGGTTCAGCCACATGTGGAAGTTGAAGCACGCCCGGAACGTTTTGGCAATGGTGGGGTGCTAGCTGGTGTGTTTCTTTGGCAAAGACCCATTAGGATCCATTAGGTGCTTTCTTGTTAAATCATCATTTAGTCTTCAGAAACTTCTTCTGTGGCTGCTTGGGCCAAAGAATCAATTCCAACTTGATCGCATGGGGCGCCAGCAGAGGAGCTGTTGAGAAAGCGCCCCAGACGACTTCTGCCCAACGTCGAACGTCGAACGACGGGTGTTTCACCGCCCAACATCGCCATGTCCGAACTCTGCGTCCAAATCAGCGAACTCAGCGAGTTACACAGGTTGGGTGGACAAGTCCGTGCACGGCATGTGTCGCCGCAACTTCTTGGCTGGCTTGGGCTTCGGAGTTGCCTCAGGCGCCGGCTTGGGAAGGACGAAGAACTGATGCGATGAAACCGAAGAAGCAATTGAGAGGACGAACTGATCGTTTTTATGTGTCCTTCTGTTTGAACGTTTGCAGAAAGCATTTAGAGTCAGGATATTCAATATATATATTTATATATATCAATGAGAAGCAGATCTGAATGCCCAGGCATTATGTTCTTCATCATGGCTGGGGGCTTTTACATCGCCTCCATCCTGATCAGAGATGGAACTGCGGACTTCAGGGGAGATTCTCGGATTGACCACGAGGTATACGTGGACGGGTGTTCCCACGGCGGAGTTCACCCCATCGCCGGGCCCATGGCCATACCCAACTTCCCCACCCATCTGGACTGGAAGAGATGCCGATTGATTTGATCCCTCTTCAACCCACGCCTCCGGCGCCACATGGTCAGTCCCGATTTGCTCCGACGCCTCACCGTCGGACGCCCCGATACTCAGTACTCGTTCGTCCCGTGGCGTTCGGGGCGGGGCGTGCATCCTCCGCGACGGCCGAGGTCATGATGGCTTTCATGGGCATTTTCTATGCTGGCATGGGCGCAGGACGAGACCATAAGCGGTGAAGCATCAGAAACCGCAGCCGGTGTGAAACACCGGCAAAGACCACGTTCATCCGAACTCCGCGAACACGCACGCCGCGGCAAGGACAAGCCGCCGTGATGGTTGGAGATGCCACCAAAGCCAAGGTGACTAAGCTGAGTGCGTGATGGTTTTCAGAGCATGCCGACGTCATGCCGCATTTGGATGCCAGGATATGCCAGGTGTCATCAACAAACACCACACCTGTACGACCACGGAAAGGGTGGTGTATGAAGACCCCTGACTATGAATTTTTGCGTCTATATAACCAGCCCTTCTGTGGCCCTGATGATTACTCCTTTCTTTGTCACGAATCAATTTTCCTGTGAGAGTTGAGAAGGGTTGATGGAAGCGAGCCATCGGATCATGAAGACACTTCGTCGTCAGATGAATCCCACCACTAGTCCCACCACTAGTCAACCCGCTACTGATCCCACCATTTGCTTCGTCTTCGGCTTCGTTTCTTCAGTTCTTCACGCGCGTGGTATGCGTTGGATCGTCGGCACTCAGGTCGCTTGCCACGACATGTTCAAGCTCATGGACCGAGCCCCTTGGCTCATCCGGTCTCTGAGGGTCGGAGCCCGGTTGGGTCGACAGCGGCCGTGGGATCGGTGGAAAAGGGGAGCTTCTTGAGAAAGACGCCTAAGGAAAGATGTACTGCATAGTTTACTGCATCTATCCAGTTACTTTTGGATCCTTGGTATTATATATATCTATCCCAGACACGATCTGTCTGGGACTGCCATTACAAGCACTTGTGTTAAGTCGTCTGGTCTTGTAGAAAGTCGTCTGGATGTTGCGTTTCCATTGGGGTTAGATGCAAGATGGCAATATAGCTGGAAGAGCATTAGGTCAACATAGGTCAACAACATTGTTTGGATGCTGCGTTTCCATTGGGGTTAGATGCAAGATGTCACCCTCATTGGAAGATAAGCTTTGGAGCGTCAGTTCAACACCATTGTTTGGGTACATGGGACGTGAGTACATGGGCCGTGGGTACATGGGTGCATGGGACTCGCGCGGCACTCCTCACCATGTTTCCTTTAGTGATCTTTTCCACATGAAGGTCATCACTGCACAGCTCTTGAAGAGCAAAGCAAGCAGGGCAGCGTGCTGCATCTATGTTTAGGGGGTAATCATCACGATAGTCCTAACCTTGCGTTCTGATTGGGGTTCGGTCACCAAAACGCTGCAAGCTTCGACATAAAACTAGTTCTTTCCCTGCACAGGGGCAGTTAATTCTTCATGTATAGCAGTTTTGACAAACATACTTCCGTAGAGCGTTTACATTGTGTGTTGACATAAAACGGGTGACTTTTCGCGAGCCGGGTGACTTTTGACTAATGCTGCGTTTCCATGCGGCCGGGTGACTTTCTGCAAATTCGGGTGACTAAACCCCAGCGCTAGTATGTGCCGCCCCATTGACCTGGCACTGGCACCACCCCAATGTAGACATATATATGGCAGTCCCATTAGTCGTGTTTGGGTAAGTCAATTTCATTGGACTTGGGTCATGATGACATTTGAGTCTCAAGATCTCGGTGTATCAGTACAGTGGTGGGACAGTGGTGGATCATGCACATGTTTTTTCATCATGTGGATCAGCTGTGCCCTTGGTGAAACAGCTCCGTCCCTTCGACACCGGCAGCGCGTCCGGGACCGGCACGGGACCGGCGCCAGCGCCGCACCGGAGCGTCCGGAGCGGTCCGAGGTCTCGTTGATCGAGGGCTTGGAACCTCGGGGCGACTCGCCGCCAGGGCTGGACGCGGGGACCATCGAGTTTCAGGACCGCGTCGGTTTTCCGCGAAACGGGAGTGAGGCGAACGCGAGGGAGTGAGGAGGCGACCGCTGAGGCGTTGTGTGTGCCGCCGTGGAGGGGAGTGAGGGGGAGGGCGTAGGGGGGTGAAAAAGCCGCAACAAAGGGCGGCTGAGACCTTGGGGGGTAGGGAGCTTTTTCCGAGATGTGGAAAGGTTCTGAGAGAAGCAAATAACGAGCAAAGGGCAAGGAAGACACTAAAGGTCCTTTAGCAGCAACGGAGGAAAAGGAAGAAAGGTACTGTAACTCCCCTAAAAAGAAAGACCTAAAGCAAAAACTGTGAATTTAGCATGGCATGAACGCTTGGCACCATTGAACCATCAGGTCTAAGCTGTTTACTTCCTGTCGCCAAAGGGCCCGAGCCAATACGCTCATTCGAGCGCCAGACGCAAAAGGTCGCCATGGTTGCATTTGGTTGATCTTTCATAGACCCCACGTTCCACCAGCAAGTGGGTGCTCTAGTTGGCACCGGAGCCTGTGGTTGCAGGATCTTCGGTCGATGTTCGATTTTGATGATCTGAGTGCCCCGGCTCTTTCCATGAGTGACGTTGCCCCTCCGCCTGAGGATGCAGGTTCAGATGCCGATCCCTCTTGGCGATGTTGGTCGTGTGACAACGACACGTTTACATGGACTGGCGAGGGTTGGAAATGTGCTAGATGTCGGAGCAGTGACTGCTACAACATTGTTCAGTCGCAAAAGCATGAGACAGATCATGGTATTTGGATGTATGTCCCCCGACAGTCGCAAGCTAGTTCCCCGACTTCCTCTCCTCCACCGTTGTTGCCGGATCCTTCGCAAGCAACGTTGTTGGTCGATCGTGCAAGTCGAGTGTTGAACCGGCCAAGACATGGACCTCCAGTTCCTCCTCAAGAGCATGAAGGACGTGAACAGGCAGAGTCCGAGCCTTTGACTGATGACCCGATCATCGAGCTTGAAGGCATGGTTGGAAAGAGCAGGAGCAGTCGTAGATCCAGGAGAAGACGAGCCCAACAGAACAAAGCAGTTGAAGCACCGGCCAACGTTGTTGATACAGGTACAGGTGTTGACATTGGTGTTGGTGCACAACAATCGCAGTTACAGCCACAAGACAATACAGCACAGCTCAACAGGTCGTTGGCAAGCTTGGTGAAGACATTGCAAAATGCAGTCAACAAAGCTGAGCATGCATCAGAGAGCAGTTCATCTTCTTGGAACTCCCGAATGGGACCGGAGAAAGGTGTTCGCTATAGAACTGGTGCTCCACCGCCTCCACCGGCGTGGAAATACAACAAGGACGACTTGAGGAGCTTCCCAAAGTGGCAACGCAAACTGTCAGTCTGGAAGCGGCAAATCGCTGGTTACATGAGCAAGAAGGACGCTGCACTTCTTTTGTACTCTTCATTGACTGGAGAGGCGGAAGAAGAGTTGGAGCATTGTGACCTGGACCGCTTGGAATCAGCTGATGGTATAGAGTACATTGAGCAAACATTGCAGTCAGGTTTGGCCACACGCTTGGTGTATCAGAAGCGCAAGCTCATGGCAGATTATGAGAGCATTGTTCGACAGCCAGGTGAATCCATGCGTGCGTACTCCAACAGATATCGCAGATGCGAGATTGCACTACAGTCTGTCGCAGTAGATGTTTCAGGAATGTATGACTCGGAGAGTCGAGGCAATCGGTTGTTGGAGAGAAGCCGCATCAGTCCGGAAAACCAAAGGCTGGTTCTCATTGGCTCAGGTTACAAGTTGACCTATGAATCCATCGTTGAGTCATTGTGCATGAGCTTTCCTGAGCACAAGCCACCGCCGCAGTTGTTTGGGAAAGATGGCCAACCTATCAAAGCAAAGTTTTCACCTTCTACTTCGAGTTCATCCACCTCATCTTCAGCATCCACAAGTGCCACTTCCTATCGGTCCTTTGGAAGCAACTCGTTCCGAGACCGAGACAGGAAGGGAAAGGGCAAGGGCAAGGTCCGCCAGGCATTTGTTGCGGAAGCTGCTGAAGAGCCTCTCGAGGCCATCGACGAGGATGATGAAGAGTTTCACGATCCTGAATTTGAGGATCAACCGGATTCCGTCGAGTTTGAAGAGCCCGACGACAACATTGAGCAAGATGATGATGTTGAGTTGTTGGAGGATGATCCTTTCGATCCTCAAGCTATTGCTCAGGTCCTCACAGTGACGGCCAAAAAGTTGCAAGGCCTGACTTTAGGCCGGAAGTTCACTGGAGCAAAGTCCGTGGAAGAGCGCAAGAAGAACTCGACATGTTCTGCCTGCGGACAGCCAGGACACTGGCATGGGGACAGTGTTTGTCCAAAGTCAGGCAAAGCCGGAAAGGGATCCAAAGGATCAGGCAAAAGCTTTGACAAGGACTCCGCAAAGGGCGCATCCAAGTCGAAAAAGGTCTACATTGGAGTTCACCATCCGGATGGAACCAGCACCAGTCATGACACCTCCGTTGAACCTCCATGTCAAGAACCTCCACCCATCACCAACTACTTCACCTTCGTTGCAGTGGTTGCTCATGAGGTTTTTACAGTTGATTCTTCATTGCAGGGCATGATGGTGATAGATACAGCCTGTCAGAGAACATGTGCAGGGTTGCAGTGGTTGGATGGTTACACCTCCCTTCTCCAACAGCATCGACTTTGTTGCAAGCGCATCACCGCGCCCGAGGCCTTTCAGTTTGGCCGTGGAGATCCGATCGAGGCGAGACATCGAGTCTATTTGCCGGCTTGCTTTGATGATCATTTGTTGTTGATTGGGGCAAGTGCAGTTGATACAGGTATTCCTTTGCTTGCATCAAACACGTTTTTGGAAACCATGCAGTCAATCATTGATGTTGCAAACTCGTGCATTCACTTTGGAGCAATTGATGTCACATTGCCACTTGTTAAGATCAATGGTCATTTGACAGTTGCAATCGCACAGTTTCCAAAAGATGTTCACAAGCATTCTGTTTGGCAACGCCTTTCATCAGAAGAGTTTTGGCATGACCCTCACCCGGAGATTCTGTCAGATGAGTTCGACATCCGAGATCTTTCGAGGCCCAAGCGAACGGCAGGTGTGCTCACTGCGACGGATGTTGCGACCAGCACCTCCCAGATGGATGCAAGCTTGGCGCCGCTTGGTTCAGGCACTTCTCAGCCTGGAATGGATCACACTCCATTGGATGTCATCCATGGTGAGGCTCGGCTGCAAACCCTTCAACAGGGCTTGGATGACGCTGCAAGAGAGATTCCAGCAGCAGGAGGCAGATCAGCAGATGGCTCGCATCAAGTGGGAGCCCGTGAACATGCCCAAGGAGTGCTCTCATCCCGAGTGGAAGCGCCACGGGAACAAGTACGGTTCCTACGCGACGTGCACCCTGTGCCACACCAGGGTCAAGTGGAACACGGAAGAGCAAACTTGGGAGGCTTCAGCTGGATGGTCGGTCTCGCAAAGATCTTCCTTGCCGCAGCCATCCTCTTCAAATATCTCGCAACCGGTATCGGTCTCAGGCAAGACGGCCATGCGAGCCACTCAGCCCAAATCCAAGAGCAAGGCCAAGCCAATTCAGTCAGCGGGAACTCAGCCATCCCCGCTACCTCCTCCACCGAGTTCAGCCTCTTCTCGCCAGGGTTCGAGGATGCGTTCGACACCCTTGGGGGCATACGCCCAGCAGTTGGCCAGTCAGGGCCAAATGGTGATCCACTCGGACGAGGAGACGGTTATGAGTCACACGGATGTGAACAGCCAGGACGAGGAGTGGTACTGGGACGACAAGACCTTTCACTCTCCGTCGGTCCTTCCATCTCCATCGACAGTGCCGGATCAGGCATGGGCCGATCACGAGGCAAAAACTCAGGAGTGGATCGATCAGGGAGCCCCAGCAGCACTCTTTCGTTGAAGCCCGGATTCAAGAAGCAGCTCATCGGCAAGATCAAGAAGGCAAAGCATGCAGCTGAGACAGAGCTCAACCTCTATGAGGCCTTAGCTACAAAACACCGGACAATGCAATCGAGGACTGACATTTTGGAAGTCTTCGCAGGCCGAGGTTTGATCTCTTCACAAGCTCCACGGCATGGACTCTCAGCATGCACACCGGTTGACTACAACACCGGCTTTGACCTTGCCACAGCTGCCGATCAAGCCCGAGTGAGACAGATCCAAAAGAAGCTTCGACCATTGTTTTTGATAGCTCAGCTTCACTGCACTCCATGGCTCTTGATGCAGGACAACATGAACTATGTCAACCGCCCGGAGGAGCTAGAGGCAAGAAGAGCATTGGAACGGCCCGTGGTCGAAGAAGCAATGCAGTGGTGTCGAACCCAACATGCAGCTGGACATTTCTACCTCTTGGAGAATCCATTGACCAGTCGACTATGGCAAGAGGAGGCAGTTCAATCCATGCTGCACGACACCGGCGCCTTCTTTGTGACCTGCCACTCAGGTGCATATGGAGCCAAGAACACCAAAGGTCAGATGATCAAGAAGACCTTTCAATTCGCATCAAACAACAAGGACATTCTGCACTACCTCAGCGACAAGTTGACGGCAGAAGAACTGAAGCAGTGTGTGCCACTTGAGGGAAAGGATGTGACCCAATCTCAAGAATACCCTCAACGCTTGATCACCTCTATCCTCCAGGGTGTGAGATACGTGGCCAAGTTGCACAACCCCACTCGCTTCAGCATCAAGAAGGTCTATGCAGCCTTCTCCCAGCCGGACACAGACCAAGAGAAGTGGCAAGACGTGATCGCCCGTGCTAGATTGCTTTTCACTTCATCAAGTACGAGCAACATCATTTTGGAGCAGCAAGACCAGCTTCACAAACAGATTCAAGCACTACTACCATGGGAGATCACGCGGCTTCAATTGGCCTGGAGACCACTTGTCCAAAGGATGCCACAGCGCGTGCCTCATACACACCGAGGTCAAGTCCTGAAGTACATCGGCCGAGAGAAGTTGCACATCTCCTCGGAGGACTTGTCTGACGTCCACTTTCCTCGCGGACGCTTTGAGGCACCTGTGGACATAGCCGTATTCTTTTTCGGCTACCCGCAAACAGCAGATGAGGACATTGGCATTCCTGGTGAAGAAGCTCACCTACATGACCAGGATCCAGAGCAACAGCTGCAAAGAGAAAACCCGACAAAAGAGGTGTTCCACGATGAGATCTTCTTCCCAAACGCCTCCAACATTGATCGTTCGATCAAGGCAGCAGTTGCAAGGATGCATAAGAACATGGGTCATTTGCCACCAGCTGAGATCCTCAAGCTGCTAGCACTCAATGGCATCACCAGTGACCAGGTGATAAAAGCCACGAAAGCTATGGTTTGCTCAGCATGCCAAAGAGCAAAGCCACCAAAGCCACCGAATCCAGCATCCTCACATCCGCAGTATCTTGGACAGTTTGCTGACAACGTCCAGGCAGACATCTTCTACCTACGGGACATGTCCTCCAAGAACTACCCCATCTTGGGCATGATTTGTGAGGCTACTCATTTGCATGCTGCGATTCGTTTGGAGTCAAGACAGCCCATCCATGTGGCCAAGGCATTGAGAGAAGCTTGGGTTCGCAACTTCGGCTTCCCGCTTCGTTTGTCTGTTGACGATGATGGAGCATTCAAGTCAGACTTCATGAATTTTTGTGATGAAGGTGGCACATTTGTTGACTTCATCCCACCAGAGGCACACTACAAGCTGGGCACCATCGAAAGGCACAATGGCACCCTCCGTATGTTGTTGGAAAGAATCGTGGACTCCACTCCATGCACATCACCGGAGGACCTTGACAACGCCATCGTGTCGGCATTGTATGCCAAGAACTCAGCAACATGGAGCTCAGGCAGACCTCCCTATATTGCTGCATTTGGAAAGATCCCTCGCATTGGACTGGATTTCATCAATGATCCTCGAGCTCTTGTCGCAGGATCCACCCGGTCCGACATGCAGCAACAAGCTGCGATGATGAGATGTGAGGCCTACAAGGCCATTGCTGAAGCCACAGCTTCATCGACTTTGAGAAGAGCCCTGCTGCGCAAGACAAATGTGCAACCGATCATGGATCCAACTCCCGGGTCGCTATTGGCCTATTGGAGGTGGACAGTCCGCTCACACCGCAAGCGTGGCGGATATCGGATAGCCAGATACTTGGGAAAAGACCCTGACAACAACCTATGGGTGCAATCTGGCAATCAGACCCTCAAAGTTGCACCGAATCAAGTTCGTGATGTTTTCGGCTATGAAGAGTATGTTCCAAGCCGACAGGACATCAAGTCCTTGCAGCAGGCTGAACAAAACTTGAGAGATGATCTTTGGTCTGATGACCGAATTCCTTTGGAAGCGCAACCTCCAGAAGAGCCTGAAGACGGCTTAGATGATGCACCTCCCGAAGCCGCAGCTTTGGAGATGGCAGACCAGGAGTTTCCTTCAATGGACCTGCCATTGGTGATCCAGCCCCAGGAACCTCAGCCTGAGGCCAAAGAGTTGAAGCTTCCGAAGACCAAACCTTCAGGAGCTGTACCACCTGAAGATCCACAAGAACTAATGTCACCATCAACGGTGATCCATATGAAGCAAAAGATTACACAGAACATCTTCGGCAAAGGATCTGCGAGCACAGCGACACCGCTCCCAGCCCCTTTCACACCCAGCCGAAGATCACGACCAGCCAGATCGAGGACTCCAACCTCGGTCAGGAGACTTGAACGTGAGGGCACATTTACAGACCCTTACATGCTTGCATCAGCAGGTCAGGAAGCTCTTGCAGATCAAATCGCACCAGACACACCTGCATTGGAACCATCAGAACAGCATCCAGGTGGTGTAACTGGCGTGCCTAATAGCGGGGCCAGGTGGCTCACACCCCGCAACCCAGTGACACCACCGCTTCAAGGTCTACCAGAGCAAGAGCCAGTTGACCTGACAGGTGAAGATGATGATCTACCTCAACCAGGAGAACCTGATTTGACGAGAGTGGCGCCCGTGACACCGGACGACTTGGGCGATGAACCGTTGCCCACCTTGCCTGCCAAGAGGCCATTTCACGCCTTGAAGACAGACATCACCGCCCGGAAAGCTGGACAAGGTTCTTTTGAACTCTTCGGCTACGAGAGCGCCTTTGCACGACCCCTCAGCATGAAGAATTTGGAATGTTTTGCTCGGCTCGACCTTTGTGTTTCACAACCTCAGCTCACTTTGGCCAGTGGACCGCCTTTGAACTACGTCAAATGGCGAAGGACAGTTGATGCCAACACCAATGAGCTCATCGAAGAGGGCACCAAGCCAGAAGATGATGATGACGGCAAGTTCACCTTTGATGGCCCTCGCAATGTCATCACAGAGCTTTGGCACACGCCACCACCTGCACACGACACGTACTACTACCACTACCGTGATGGCACGATCCAGGAGATCGAAGCAGGTTGGGATGGCTCAGAAGAGAACGCCATGCCTTCGACCAAGGCCTACTACAAGGTCTATGTCCAAGAGCTTGCTGCCGCTGTCGAAGACAACTTGAGCAGGCCTAGCGACTCCGAGACGGACGTCGAGGACTACAAGAATGGCAAGCGTTTGACTCGACAAGAGAAGAAGGCCATTGAGAAAGAGCTGAGCTACAGAGACATTTTGTCTCAGAGCGAAGACTACATCCAGGACTTCATCAAAAGCGCCCAGAAAGAAGAGACCAGTTTCATGGAATGGAAGTCGCTCAAGCCAGTTCCTCCAGACGAGACGGAGAAGATCCTAGCTGATCCAGAGTTGAAGAAGCGAGTCATCACCAGCCGTGCCTGCTACAGAGACAAGAACAAGGGCGTACCGCCCCTCAAAGCCAAAACCCGCATCGTGGCACGCGGGAATCAAGATCCAGACCTCCGAGCATTGACACGTCAGGCACCAACACCTTCAAGGATCAGTGAGATGCTCACCTACTTGATCTTCCTTTCAGGCCTTCACCAGAAAGCATTCCACTCCACCTCAAAGTGGAAGATGTGGGCAGGAGACGTTTCCACTGCCTTCCTCCAAGGCTGTCAGGATTTGAGTGAGCGTGCTGGCAAGCTTTACCTCAAGGCTCCACGAGACCCTCTTTTGGTCCGAGCCCGAGTGTTTCAGAGCGATCTCTATGAGATAACAGGAAATGTGTACGGGCTCAGCAACGCCCCATACACATGGGCAAAAGAAGTTTCCAGTCGATTGCTGAAGTTGGGATTCACGATGCACAGTTTCGATCATATGATGTTTCTGTTCCCCGATCCCAACAATCTCCCGGCACCTGCAGCAGTGTTGATTTGCTATGTAGATGATTTTCTGCTGACATTCAACGAGTCATTTCCTTTTGACAAGTTTTTGGGTGCATTCAAGTGGGGAGCGCAGCAGTTTTTGGAACAGGGCAAGCCTTTGATTTTCAAGGGCAAGGAGATTCATTTGGAGCAGACAGGTCAGTTGCAGACGCTTCGCATTGTTCAGCAGGCCTTCATTGAAGGGCTTGAGATGGGCCGCATCAGCAAGAAGGTCAAGAAGACGGACATCCTGTCTCCTGAACATTGGCCTGAGTTCCGCTCCATAAGCGGATGCCTTCAGTGGCTCGCAGGGCAGACACGTTTGGACATCTCCTCGGCAGTCAGCTTGTCGAACAAGGGTCAGGACACGACCTATGGAGATTTGGACTACTTGTACCAAACCCTGCAGCACGTGAAGGATACAGCTTCCTTGGGACTGCGCCTTTTTCCCGTCCCGATCGATGACAGCACGGTCATCATGGCCTACAGCGATGCGAGCTGGGCCAATGCCCAAAATTCGGCCAGCCAACATGGACAGTTGCTTTTTCTTGCACCTGCAACTGTCAGTGAGAAGATCTGCTATGGTGGGCTTGCAGACTGGAAGAGTTCCCGGTCGAAAAGGGTGTGCCGGAGCACACTAGCAGCTGAAGCGGTATCAGCAGACAGTGCAGCTGATCGCCTGGCATTTCTTCAATACACGTTGGGTGAGATCGTTTTTGGCATTCCAGCTCACAGAGTTGGCCCTCGGCTTCGAGCCCTGCTGGCAACGGACTGCAAGAGCCTTTACGACAGCGTGAGCTCGCCGAATCCCACTGTCGAAGACAAGAGGAGCTTGGTGAACATCAGATCGATTCAAGAGGTGGTGAATCGAAACACCATTCACTGGCTTCCTACCAGCCTTCAGATGGCTGATTCTCTCACCAAGGTCTCGAATGACCTGAGGGACAAGCTGCTTGAGTGGTTGCAGCGACCGCTCATACAGTTGAGGTCTGATGGTTCAAAAGAAAGATTCCCCAGTGTGAATTTAGCATGGCATGAACGCTTGGCACCATTGAACCATCAGGTCTAAGCTGTTTACTTCCTGTCGCCAAAGGGCCCGAGCCAATACGCTCATTCGAGCGCCAGACGCAAAAGGTCGCCATGGTTGCATTTGGTTGATCTTTCATAGACCCCACGTTCCACCAGCAAGTGGGTGCTCTAGAAAAACAACATAATCCACATCATGTTGCTTTGCATGATCAGGACGTCAAGTTCTTCTACCCTTTCAGGCCTGACATTCAAGCAGCTTGGCGAAGCTTGATGCCTCAAGGGGCGGAGAATGGACCGAGAAGGCTGCCAGTCAGCCGATGGAGGCTCGGAGGCTGGCGGTCAGCTGGTCGTGGCGACCGTGCTCAGGGAATGCGCGCTTTTGATATGAGGTGTGTAGCATGTTGTAGCATCATGTAGCCCTTTTTGGTGGGTGTTGATTCTTGATGCGTCCGAACGCAGGTTTGCGCAATCGCTCGCTTAGTAGGGAGGAAGTGATCCGGTCTAAACTCGACACATTGAGCCAGCCAGCTGCGCTGTGCAGCAGGTTGAGCTGCAAGAATGCTTTTGGACTGTAAAAATCCGGTGGCACTTGACATGCTAGTTGAGTACAACAAGAAGGCTCGGACCGTACTCGTAACCAGAACAGAACATCGTGGAAAGAGTTCTTTGGGCTTATTCTATTCCATCAACGGCAGGTTGATTCAATCGCCAGGCGTGCAGTCAAGACCATCAAATCAGGTGGAGCCTGGATGTTCCAACCACACGTATGAGACAAACAGATTAATAACCAGCCAATAGGCATACATTTTGCATAGTTGGAAGATCAAGGCATGACCAGAGTCATTACCAGGCAGCCACTTACATCAGCTTGGGGGAAGCCACACGGTCACACGGGTCGGGCCACATGCGGCATGCAAATAATTACCTGAACCTTGATCTTCCAACTATGCAAAGATTTCTGCCTAACTTAGCTGATTTCATTGCTGGAAGAAGGCAGAAACCTTATGCACAATTGGAAGGTCCAACCATTGAGGTCCACAGTGGCATTGAGTCTTTTTCCTGTCCATCTCATGTCCTCAAGTATCCCACCAGTATCACACCTGAGGTCTTGAAGGGCATCACGTTCAAGATCACCGCCGGGCAATCCGTCGGTTTGGTCGGCCCGTCGGGTGGAGGCGGCCCGACAGAAGTCGCAGGGGCGGGGTGGTTGGTCAAAGCGGCGTCCCAGGGGGGTTCACACCATGGTGCATGGTGTAGGAAAGGGGACGGAAAGAACGCCCTCAAAATGTTTGCCATACGCTGGGAGAACCATGGATCACCATGGACCTTTAATCTGTTTGTTGGGAGTGGTTGAACATGGATCCCCCCACTCAACCAGAACAGGTCGAAACAGGTTAAACCTTTTTCCAGCGAAGCGGCTCAGGAGTCAGGAGTCAGCTTCGCTTATAACGATGTTTCACTGGACCCAGACTGGACCCAACATGACCCAACCGTCACACACCCGGCCGCGGTTGCTGCTGTGCCGGACTGGACGGCCTCATCCCGAGTGGTTTTTTTCTCCCGCGGGGAAGGCAAGAGCACCGTGATGTCATTGCTGCAGCGTTTCTACGATCCAGTGGAGGGCACCGCCACTCGCCCAGCGACTCACGACTCGGCGTGGTTGGATGGTCTCGGTGTGCGGTCCACACCCCCATCCATTGGGACTGGTGTGTTTTCCGCATCCCCCCTGGCACCATGCTTCAATGTATACGTAGGTATACGATATGTCAGTCGCATGGATGGTCCTCGGAAAGGTTCCAGCGGACACGCAGCGTTCTATGCCTTTTTCTCGGGGGCGGGGTACCCGAGGCCTGCTGACTCAGGCCTAGGAGTGTGCAGTAAAATCGCTTTGAGTATCAAGGAGTGCAACATCCGGCACTTCTCGTGCGGGCGGCGCTTTCTCCTCGCACCGGAGACGTCCGGTCCGAGCGGTGAATACATCACACTCAAGCCTGGCCCGACCTGTAACTCGGCCGGTCAAACATTGATATAGCTAGAGTCCATGTCGGCCGGTACCACTGGTTAATATATTTCTCATATAACAGATTCTGAGAACTTTGAAGGGTCTTCAGTCTTTAGCCATTTGCCATTGTTTTCCTGGATTTTCGACCACACAACCAGGTCAACCTTTCTTTAAGATAGTGCAAGAGATTTACCTCGAACTTGAATGACCTATTTGGCACCACCAACCAACCAGAATATGGCCTTTTCATGCCTTTTTCCGAAGACAAAACCGGGTGTTTGGTCCGTGTTCCAGATCCACGTCTACAAACTCCTGTTTTCTGGTCTCTTCGTCTACCACCCGGCGAGACCGACGGGATCCTCCGGGGTCCGGAGGATCCGAACCGTGGTTCCAACACGTGCACCGCTCGAGGTGTACATCGGCAGCGGAAAGATGCCGTTGAGCTCACTGAACATCCGCTGGTGGCGCAAGCAGATTGGCTTCGTGGGGCAGGAGAGTGATGGTATGTGAGGGTGTTGCTGAGGAAAAAAGGGTGGGTCCAAGAGAGATTGTGATTCCTTGGGTTCCTCCCACCAGCGTGCGAACTACATGGAGCACACCATGTTCCTTCTTAATTTTTTGCTTTGCACACACAGGTCTCCACGACACCATAGTGACCTACGACGGCGCCAGTGACGTCCTGTTGACGTTTGCTTTTTGCCTGCGAAGTCCAGGAGCCGATCCTCTTCAACACGACGGTGAAAAACAACATCATGTGACTGGGGGAAAAGGTGATGACAACGGAGAATGAAACGATGTTCAAATTTGAGTGCGGCTCAGGGGTTGGTTCGAACTGTCATTATAGGAGACTATAGTCTTAGGATCATAGTCACTATGCATTTTTGCCCTGCCTGGCTGGTTTTTATAGATGTCCAAAAAATAGAAAGAATCCAGGTGCATCCATCGTTCCTGAGATCTTCCCACGTACTATGCATCTTTCTTTGCCCTGCTTGGCTGGTTTTTATATAGTCCATATATAGTTAGAAAGAATTCAGGGTGTATCCATGGTTCCTGACATCGTTCTTCCTGTTCGACCAATTTTTGGACCGATCCCCAACCACGCGACCGGGTGAGAGAGATGGCACCGAGCGGCGTCTCGCGTCCGACAGGTATGGTTTGGACGATGACGACAAGCCACCCACGAAGGAGGGCTTTGGAAGACGGGGTTTGGAAGACGGGGAACATACCAGTCGACCGGATTCCAAGAGCAATTGCTTCGATTTTTTGAAGGCTTCTTTGTTTGAATCAACGGAGGGACCATTGTTGCACTCATGAAGCGTGTTAGAGTGCCAAAAGGGGTCAACCTTTCTGAAAAAAGGGTCGAACTGAAGGCGATTCTCGATTTCGCTGCAGCTATAGGAGTACATTGAGCAGTGTGAGCAGATGTGCAACTTGGCCTTCCTCCACAAGAACGGCAACCGTGGCCTTGAGACTGAGGTGAGGATTGACATGAAAAAGACGTAGCACTCCTTGAAAACATGGAAGTGGATGGTACCACACTGTTTGGCATTTGGGAAATGGTCATCACGGTCATCCGGCCGACGCCATCCACTTCCATGATGATTTCCAAACTATAGATCAAGCTAGCATAGCTTCTTGTTACTAGTAGCAATGGCCTCCAACCTACTAGCGATGGCCTCCAACCTACTAGCTTCTTGCTACTAGTAGCGCTAGTAGCTTCTTGTTACTAATGCAATTTTGTTGGTGTTTCAACTAGTTCAGTTCATCCCCTTGAGAGTCGCAGAACTCGAATCTCGTGAAGCTTCTCTTGACAAGGGTGCCAGACCACATTCACTGCCGCACAAGCAAGAAGCATGATGTTTGTTGCACAAAAGGTTTGAGTGGTACCTTTGTGTCCGTGGAATGTTTTTGCATGTTTTTGCAAGATATAATTGGTTAAGAAGCAGGGCCCAGTCATACAGCTGCCAAGAGTGCAGCAAGGAGAGGTCAATGACTCATCCTTAAGCTGCATCAATCATGTGATGCTGCAGCTGGCACTCACAGGAACAGCATTGATGTAGCAAGGCAGATGACCTTGCAGCTGTACATTCCTAGATCCTCCCTTCGCCTCCCACGAAACCACTTGTACCCCGATTTGGGAACCCAACGCTGGGGCCTTCACGAGGGCGCTCCGTGGTCGACTCGCCGGCAGGTGGGCCCCCGCGGCAGCCGTTTGTCGGGCGGACAGAAGCAGCGGGTGGCCATTTGCCGTGCTTTGATTCGAAACCCAGCGGTGACTTGGAGCATCCCATCTGGGAGCAGACCTGGAGCCCATCCGGAGCAGAGCCCAGAATTTTCGAGGCCCATCGTTTCTGGCTCTTGTTGGACACGCCAAGAATATGAGGACCCAGGATGGAGCCAGGAGGATGTTTCAGAAGGTTGGACTTGTTAAACTTGAAGATGGTCAAAGTGGATTCCCGAAGCATCCTGTTCCTCAGCACTTCCGTTCCTCATCCGAGGTGATGCTCTTGGATGAGGCCACCAGTGCACTCGACACACAAAGCCCCTCGGTTTGTGCAGGCGGACGTTGAGGGTCGATCGAGGGGGAATACCCAGCAAGACCGAGAAAACAAGAACATGCAGCAATGCACCCAGGAGATGCATCCATGTCAGGGCCCCCTAGGCCCTAAGGCCCTAAGGGGTGGTTTCATGGTGGTTCTGGAGCTGCCGTCCTCCCTTCTTGGAAAGCTGGTCAGCTGAACGCGGGAGGAGTTCAGTTGTTTCGTGAGAAGACGGATCAATATTTTTGGTTGGCGATTGAACGATCACCGGCAAATTTGCAGGCATCCCTCTGCTTCGACGTGACATGTTTCAGTTACTTCACTTCTGAACCCTGAAGACGTCAACCACAATCTATATCCATCAAGCAGCCAAGCATGCATTCCTTCCAAAGCCGCACGGTGAGCCATGGTGTTTTGGCCTGAAGTTCACGCACGAAGGGTGTTTTCACAGGCGGTTCTGCTACTCGTGCAGGATGCCGCAGACACCATCAGACACCCCTTCAGGATGCAAGAAAGACCGAATGAAAGCAAGCAAGAAAGCAATTCAAACAGGAAGATGCAATCATCAAGGCCTGAAAAAAGGAAGACCTCTGATAGACTCGTTCCACACCAGGTTTGAAGGTTCTACGTCTGGCGCCAAGGTGAGGCAATTGTGCAGACCGCGCTGGAGGCGAGCATCAGTCGGGTTCACATGCTGAGCTACATGGACGAAGCGACATGACGAAGCAACCGATGGACTGTACCCGACATGCTTCCACCACTTCGATCGGAAACAGCCAAAAGTCTGAGTATACCTGGACCCGACTTCAAGTATACTCTAGAAAATGGGACGACTGTACCCGCTTTCCGAGGTACTTTGAGGCTCGAAATGATCAGAGAGTCTTTATGGTGGAGTCATTTCCGAGGAATCGCATTTTGTTTGTGTGTTCTGTTTTTAGCCGACAGGCTGCGCTGAAGGGACGTACGTCCTTTGCGATCGCGCATCGGCTCTCCACCATCCAAGGCGCGCCGACCGTGCCGAGATTCCGTGCCGACCGAGATCAACATGGATCGATTCGTTTGGAAAGGAAGCCGTGAGTCACCAGTCGTTCAACTTCCGGCCTGCAGATGCTGCCTGAAGTTTCACAGGTTTCACCCCCAAAAGTGAGAGAAGTGAGCAAAACAATCATGTACTGCACACTAAATGATTAGATACTTGGACCATCCAAGGGGTGCCCTGTCTGGAAGCCTATAGGTAGTGTGGGGTAGTCCAGCCAGGACACCCCGAAAACGGATGGTCCTGGTATATGGATGTCAATTCTGAAGGGCCAGGCCGGACCGGACCGTTCTACCCACATCGTCTTGGTCCAACTCACCCGTTGTCGCGGCGGAGACCGCTTCGCGCTCGCGGGCGCTCGCGGGCGCTCGGTGAGGCTGCGATGTGATCCTTGTGAATGCTGATGGCCGAGTGGTGGAGAAGGGCAATCATGAGGAACTCATGGCTCTCAAGGGCGTGTATCACAAGTTGCAGATGCAGTCTCAGAAGTGAAGACTCGGAGACTCTTGCAGTCTGGAGTCGGGCAGGTGGAGTCTGCGGTTTTGGTCTGTTTCCATTGCGATGGTTGTTTTTTCCATCGCGAGTTCAGAGGAGAGATCTTGCCACCAGGGAAAGCTTCGGGTGATTTACTTGAGTGACGCCCTGAAATCACATCTATTTCATGCCAAGTGAGGATGTTTTTGGCCGGTATTCATTGAAGCAACACCCGGTGGGCACCACGCGTCAACGTATAAGTTTGACAGTCAGCGAGAATCCTCAGAGATCTCGTAGCAAACCTCCTGCAGCCCAAGACCCCCGCTCACGTTCCAGTGGATTCCAGTCATTAACTGTTAAAATGTTGGGTGAAACTGCGTGGATTCCATTCATTGTGAGGAGGGGCTGGGGCCATCTTGGAAGCACAAGATAGGCAAAGCCTACCATTTTCCTTGCGTTTCTTCCCACAGATTTCTCCAAGCGCTTTGCACAAGCAGCGTGCTTGCTGTGGGCGAGCTGTTCTTCTCAGCCTAGTCACAGGGCCACGGCTCGTGGCGAAGTGATGTGTTGCACTGCACGTTGCGGACGGAAGTGCTGGGTTTTGTCCCCACGGCTTGTTGGGCTAGACCCGGCATCATCCCAGGCGTGAAAAGTGCCGCAGCCGCAGCCGGAGCCGAGCGGAGTTCCGGGGTTCCCCGACGAGCGGTGGTTGGAGTGACCGGGTTCGTTGGAGACGTCGGTGGAAGTCATTTGAACGGCATCCCTCCTCAGATTTGAGGTCATTTGTGGCTCAAGAACCGACTCAAAGTCTGGAGATGCAACTTTAGAACGGGTCACTCAATCCCAACGCTGCTTTTCTTCGACTGCAGCAAGGTATTCAATGCCTAGCTTTCGTCCCCCTTCAAACTCTTCAGGGCTGGCTGCAAATGCTGCGGTGTTCAATCACATGCCTATATAGGGCCTATAGGCATCGAGTGTTCAATAGCCTAGCCAATTGCAAAACTGGACATGATCTTCTTTTTTCTTTTTCAACGACCTCATTCGCGAAAGGAACTGGCCAAAGGAACTTGCGAAAGAAGGGCCCAAATAGAAAATCTGCAGGTAATAGATCTATAGCCTCAAAGTACCTCGGAAATGGGTGCAAGTACCTGTTTCTATAGGGCCATGTCCCATTTTCTAGAGTACTTTGGAAGCTCCAGGTATTCATTTCGGTTTTGGAACGCTTTGTTCGGAAAACGGAGTTGGTCGGTCCGGAGCTCCTGCCCTCGATGCCACGCCGAACATGCACAGCCCGGGGGTGCCTGGCTGATCCAATGAAATCAGCCTGGGGACTTAGCTTTTCCACTGTGGAACTCCTGATTCCATGCGTTTTCATCGCTATTAGCTTGGAGGCCATCGCCAGTAGGTTGGAACTCCTGGTTCATGCGGTTTCATGTTGCAGGTTCGAACACCTGTTGAAACCTGTTGAGGAGGTGTCGAACACCTAGGACCACCCGGTGAAGCATCTCTTTGGACCTTGGGCCGCGGGGCACATCCGGCTGCCGGAAGATCCCAGAATCGATTGGAAAAAGAACATGTAGACTTAAGGTCCGACTCTGCATGTCGTGAAGAGGCTTTATTTATGTGTATAGCTTTGTTTGGGGGGGTTAGGAATCAAGAGTATATAGCTCGCTTTTTCTTATTGTTATTGCGTTCTTCTGCTCGGCAAGGGAGAATTCTCGTTGAACACCGCCGTCGACCCCGAAGCGGAACCGCCCGTAACCCAACCGCCGGTCACGGTGGAGAATGGTGAGATATCATGTTTGCGCATGCTGTCTCCGCAGCACTTGCAAAGCGGTCCAAATCAAAAAACGAGTCGAAGACATTCACACACCCTCCCATACCGTGTCAAAGCCGACTCGAGGAACCTCGGACCTCAACACGGAGGTCGAACGGCGCGAAGCGAAGCGTGCGTGCGATGTTTTCCAGTCACTCTGAAAAGGACTGGTCCACTCTACAAGTCAGTTTGACCTCATGTTTAGTGGGGATGGTCATACAAAAGCAATACTTAACGAGGCAAAAGACGAGGTGTTACTGGGTCAGACTGGACTTGTAGGGCCAGTGCTTACTGTGAGATTCGAAGCTTTTCAGAACATGTAACATGACTTTGATATGAGAATTCATCAACACTTTAATCAACATCAAATCTATAGTGCTGCATCGCTTGCTTTACCGATGCCTTCTACGACAAACCGCTGCCCCCCCCAAAAAACACAGACCCACAAAGAGGCAGGAGTCCTGCGCTAAAGGTCATTAAGAGTGTCATTTTAAGATGCTCCCCCCCAAAAAGAACAAACTTGCCAGACTGATTTGCATTTCGCTTCCTCACCACATCGGCTCAAGTAACTGCCTTCACTGCGCGGAACCGCGCGGTGTTTCAGACAGAAAATCGGTGGCCGTTGACCGGTAGGGGCGTGGCGTGGTTCGGAGACCGAGTCGAGGATCGGCTTCGCGGCCCGTCATGGGCGCCATCTTGTCGGAGCCTGTGACGGCCATGGTCATTGAGCATTGCAGTTCCTCTTCATGGTCCGCTGCAGCAGTGACGATGCAAGGCGGGTCCCGCGCGGGCTGATGGCACATCCTCAATGGTTTCCAGAAGGTTTTTGTCAGGAACAGCGACAATCGAAAGAAAATCAACACAATGAACAGTGAACGAAAAAGTCTAAACTTCTAAACAAAAGGAAATGAAACCAAAACAAACAAAACATAAACTTTTATAAGCTATATGATCTATATTGATCTATCATAATATATAATAATGGCTTTCAATTTGAAGGCTGGCGGCGGACTCACGAAGATGCCCATTTGCTGTGCCCCGACGAGGGGAGTCACGGAGGAGTCTTTGCAGTGCTCGATGGCCACGGTGGGAGCAGTGCAGCCTCAGGAGGTGCAAGGCTTCTGGAAGAAGCGCTGAAGAAGGTGGCTTTCAGTGGGACCTTGAGTGGCAAGAGTGAATTGGAAGTGCAAAACATCCTCGAAGAGGCATTCCTTGACACGGATCTGCGCCTGCGCAGCCACCTGGAACCAGAGGATCGCAGTGGCAGTACGGTGGTCGCCTGCATCCTTGTCCCCATGGACACGTCCGACTCCCCGCACCGCTTCACCGTGCAGCTCGCCCATGCGGGCGACAGTCGCGCCGTGCTGAGCCGCCAAGGCACCTTGTTCTGCTCGAAGGATCACAAGCCCAACCGCGAAGACGAGACTCGCCGCATCGAGGCGGCCGGGGGCTGCGTCTCTCAGGGACCACTGGGAGGAGGACCCATGCGAGTGGATGGGGCATTAGCCGTGAGCAGGGCATTGGGTGACTTTCATTTCAAACCGAAGGAATTGGACGCCTCGAAGTGCAAGGTCTCCGCGGTGCCAGAAGTGCAAGTGGTTGAGGGCTGTTCAGCTGGTGATTGGGTGCTTCTGGCCTGCGATGGCATCTTCGATGTCATGGAGAACGAAGAGGTGCGAGCCTTTGTGGAAGAGCACCCGTCCAAATCGTCAGAGGACATCGATGCAGGACAGCTGTGCATTGACCTCCTGAAGCGTTGCCTCGACAAGGGCAGCAAGGACAATTGCACCGCTTGCTTCATCCACTTCGGCAAGGCCCCCGTGAAAGGACGTCCGAGCTCGGAGCTGCTGCAGGGAGGATGGAGAGGAGCCTCTCCGGAGGTGCAGTGCAAGTATGCCGAATTCTTTCGAGATCATGGCTTTGAAGCTCAAGCCTCCGAGATCGTCGTCGGCCGCAGGAGCTCCAAGGGTCCGACGGCAGCTCCGGGCGAGCGCGAGAACGGGACTTCAAGGAGTCTCTCCAGTTTCACGCGGGTACTCCAGGCGGTTCGTTCCACGCGAGCCATTCAATCTGCTTGGAGGGCTCGTAAAGATGCCCGGAGTGCCACCAGTGCCACCAGTGCCTCCAGCACCGAGTGACCTCATGGCCGAAGCGGCCGAAAAGTGACGGATCGAACCTGGGAGCGAACGTCGACACGTGGACCTGGAGCCGACTTTAAGTATACTCATGGCCCTATAAAAGCATGGTAGCTTGATGTACTTGTACCATCTTGTACCCATTTTCCGAGGTGCGAACTGAGGTGGCGAGGACACGTAAGGACACTCGTCACGCAGTGCCGAAGCTCGGAACACGCCCCAGGTGGGCGTTGGAGTGGGCCGATGTGAGGCAGGAGCATGCAACTTTGATCAACTTTGTTTTTTTGGGGGGAAGTGGTCTTCTTTTCTTCCTGACCTGCATGCTGTATACCGCACAAAGAATGGACATGATTTCAGAACAAAGAAGACCACTTGATCCCTGCATACCGCCAGATTCTGCAAAAAGTGTTTGAAGATGTCGTTCTTCTCCTCAAAAACGTCTCAGTTTCGACGCCACTGGATGTTTTGGTGAAGGGAGGAGGGGGGGCTCACCAGCTCGGAACAAGACGAAACTCGAGCCGCGTCCGTGGGTCGAGCGGCTCGTCCAGCATGAAGCAGTGAGCAGCACTGATCGAGAGGCAGATTTGAGGGCCACAGGGAGGGTCACCAGATGTCATCAGACTTTAGGTTGGCAGACTTCGCTAATAGCGGCATCCAACCTAGTAGTTTTTTTGCTACTCGAAGGAATGGCCTCCCAACCCAGTAGCGATGGCCTGAAGCCAAACAGATGGACCACACTGACCACACCAGACCGTCACAGGATGTCACATGACCCGTGTGGGTCACGAGGAAACCAGGCACCACACGGGACACGCCTCGCGGCAGTCAGACCGCGGGACACCGCGGCGATGACATGGTGGGTCTCCGGCCGTGCCTTTGAAGGAGAATCGGTTGGTCGGTCGGTTTGTGAAGGTGAAAGGGAAGGAACATGCAGGAACGTCATGCAGGAACCACCTGACTCAGAGTGGCAGGGAATCAGGAGATGTAGGGCTTTAAGGGATCTGTGGCAGTGATGCTTGGATCAGTGCTTGGATTAGATCAATTGATACCCATGATCTATCCAGAATCCAGATCTGTCCTTGTTCCTGCTGTTTTTCTCCTGCCTCTCTGCGGTGAGGACTGACCTCCAATGACGACCGCTGCCAGTGCGGTGAGGACCGGGATTCTTCCCCAAGACCATTTCGCCGGGGTCGTTGTGGGCCCAAGGCTAAGAAGGCCAAGGGAACGAAGGGTCTTTTCCCAGACACGTCACGACGTGTCTGGGACTGCCAGTCCGGACTGCCTTCAAAACGGCCAGGGGTGGTGCCAGGCGGTGGCGGAGGTCGTGTTTGGGTCTATTTCCTCGTCGTGCCGACCTCCGACCGACGTAAAAACCAGACGCTTCGAGACTCCGATGATGCGCCACCAGACCTCCGCCATCGGGGGGTGGAAGGACACGCAGTGGGGCCCTGCCAGGACCTGGTGGCCTCAACTTCCGCCGGAGACAGCATGGAGGGCCGGTTGGGACCGGGACGTTGGCAGATTCTGACAGCTCTGATGCGACCTGAGCTGGCTGCCCTGTGTGTGTTTTTCCTCTTGGCAGATGACAAACACGATCTCAACTGCAAGAAGGTTCCGCGACCTGTTTGGGGTTTGATCAGGGTTGTTGTGCTTCATGTTGCTTCATGCTTGAAGAAGACACGTACATTCAGCAGTGTCTCACCAAGGAAAGAGCGGCCGAGGTTCAGCAGAAGCACCTGGTGGACAGCCTCAGTTCTTCTTCTCGTTTTGATGGGCGCCTATGGCGCCTACTTTCTTCTTCGAGCTCGGCGCAAGTCCCAGAAGGTTAGGGTGTCGCAGCGATGCCGTAGGAAGCAATAGATAGATGTGGGGAGATGTGAGGAGATGAAGAGAAAACGTCGAAGATCCATTGTGCTGAAAAGCTTCATGCGGTATACCAATAATCGCACCGAAAAAAAAAAAAACAAGAACAACAGACCAAACAACCCGTATAAGCTAATACTACCTCGGATTTGACCCGAAAAATTGAGTCACTATGAGGTCAGGTCAACCATGGTCAACCATGCACCAACCGTTCTTTTCCCTAGGGCTCCAGTCGTACCTCCTTAGGTTCGATATGACTGGACCCGGAACCCACCCCAGTCCCACCTTAGAAGGTACGACTGGAGCCCTTACCCAGACACGACTATGTCTGGGACTGCCAGTCCGGACTGCCTTCAAAACGGCCAGGGGTGGTGCCAGGGGGGGGGCCAAGAAGGGGCCGGGGGCTCCGACATGGCAGTGCCACACGGGTCGTCGTGTGGGTTCATCCGGATGTGCTCGGACCAACCCGCCGGACAGGTGGACGCGCGGTCAAGGTCGCGCTGCGGTCCGGGCTGCTCCTCAGTCCAGTCCAGCGGATGCGGAGCGGCCGGGACGTGGGAACAGAAGCAGTGCAGCAGGGCCCCCCTGCTTTGGGGTGTTTGAATCATAGCCCCATTATATACCAGCAGCCTCCTGGCCAGGCTGTTTGAAGACCCTAACAGGTGGTTTCTGGGCACCTAGTTGGGCACCTGTCACCACAACAACACCTGTTGGAGGGTCCAGGTAGAGGTAAGGGACGTCCATGAACCGCCCCAAAGCGGGGGAGGCACATCGATGTCCATGGCACTTCTGCGCAGACTTCGTCGTTTCAATGGCGTGTGGATGCGCGCGCCGAGCGTGCTGCAGCGCAGTTCCATGTTGACCATGTTGGGGGTGCTTTGACTCCTCAATGACCTGTGAGTGGATTTGCTATGATTTGCTTCTGGGCGCTGTTTGGTTCCTCCATGACTACCTGGAAACCTGAATGACTCCTGAATTTGAAGTCGTCACAACATGGCCAATCTCTATCAATCTCTTCCAACAGATCGAGGTCATCAAAACTGGATCTTCCAAGACGGCACGAACACCTTTGGTTGCGCGCGCGCGCCGCGCCGGCGCGTCCCGAGGTGTCGATCACGCCCTCTCGACGGGCGCCCTCTCGGACGCGCCCCCACTGCGGAGCAGTTCCCACTGGTCGGCCAAGTATCAATGCGACTCGGAGTTCGTCGAGTTCGTCGGACAGAAGCGAAGGGCGAAAAAAGCCCGGTCGTTTGAGGTCGTTCTTTTGTATATTCACCGATCCGCATACACGTAGAGCCGGAGGTGCCAAGTAAGTGAACGCAATTCTTCGGTTTTTTCCATCCTTTGTCCATCTTGTTGGCCTTACTTAGCCGCTTTTGGATGAACAAGGCATTGCATATGTGGATGATCCAGGCGACCGCCGCGACCGTTCGTCAGGCCAACAGACCCTGACGGAGAGCAGCAGATGGTCTCGGCCCAAGGCCTCCTTCTGCTGCCAGCACCAGGGCTTGGGCTGCGAAGTTTGGAGGAAATTGCGCCGGGGCAAGTGGGGGACTTGGGCACTCGATGCGATAGCGTGAGCGAGGTTTTGGCCTTTTCTGGAGCTCAGAGCTGTGTCCGGCGTGGATATGACGCATTCAGCTTTCTGCCGCCCAACACCCGCCGTGAGGTCGAAGTATGACTGCAACCAGGGCGCCCGGAACTGGTACCGGAGCTGGTCGGGCGAAGCTTGGAGCATCTCCAGTAGGCTTCGAACAAAACGCGACAGGGGCCCTTGCAGCCGTGACGAGCAGACACGCTCGTGGGCATGAGAGTTCAAGACCGGGATCTTCCAACAATATATGTGTGTTTTTTTTTGAAACATCTTGTAAAAAAACTACGCATCATGTCATTCGTAAACCCAGCTAGTTCGGCAGAACTTCTTGCAATCAGATACCGACCTCCAAGGCCAGGCCCCCAGGCCGCGGGAACCCACGAGGCCCGGTGGCAAGCCGCCGCCGACCGGAAGTCCTGGCGATCCTGAGGACCGGAAGGCCTGGTGTTGTCAGAACATGGGCCGTGGATGCATGCTCTACCGATGCGAGGGCTCGGCCACTTGGGCGAATGGATCTTTGGGACAGGTGGGGAACGCTGACTGGGGAAGAGCCACGTGAAAGGTCTGACATGTCTAAATCCCTTATTAAAGGTCCCAAGAAATCTGGAGAAAAGACCAAAAGAACTCTAGGTCTTCACTGGCTTACACGTGGGTACCTTTGACAGGACTCCTGTTGTCGGCATGATCACTGTCTCGCAGCCTGGCGCGAGTCTTTTTTTCGGGTCCAGGTGCTCAGTTTTGGTCTGAGGTGCTACACATCACACGGAACACATGGACCATGGAAGTGAAAAAAACACCTGTTTGTAGAGGAGAAGAGTCATCCGGATGGACCATGCCATCCACGTAAGCATGTTCGTGAGTCGGAGTGTATCCTTCCTTTTTTGGACTTGGAAGGCTTGGAATGCTTCCATCACTTCTCCTCAGGCTTTTGATTGGAGCATGCGGAAGAAAGCCTGGATGCATGGCTGCATGAGACAAGCTTAGCAAGCTTGCCGTACGCCGTAGGTGCTCAATGTGCAAGCAGAGCTTTAGCTGATAGCACTTCACCATTTGGCCCCCAAATGGCAAGGTGTTGCCACAATGCCTACCGTGGCTGCAATTTGGCCGCTGCTGTATCCAAGCCTTGTGACCACTTATGTCTATTGCCTCTTGGCCTCCATGGAAGCCAGGCTGTGGCTTGTCCTGTGGATATGGATTTCTTTATGTTGCATTACCTTCTGCCAGCTCCAATGAGGAAGATAGATTCATTCATTCCATGCAACGCATGCCTGGATCTTCCAACTGTAAAGTTCAAGTATTAAGTAAAGTATTTATTCTCATCGGTCAACCGACGAGTCCGGCAGACACTTGGCGGAAGATCCAGATATGCAAAAGGTCAGTCCCACAGATGCTTGGGGAAGACATGCTTTGAGTCGAAACGAGGAAGGGCGAGTCCGGCACCTGCAAGATGCACATTCATTGGGCAGCAGAAGTGCCTTGGGACCCGTAGGAGTGCCTATGGGTCAGATGTCAGACGCTGAACAGGTATATGGATGGATGATGGATGTCTATCTACAATGTGGATGATCCTATATCGTGATTTGTATATAGCTTTAGCCTCCAGAACCTTCTGACTTCTGTTGCTTGTTAGGTCACTGAGTCAGGGTCACGGCCGGTCTCGTCGCTGCACCCAGGGCCGCGCGCCCGGAGATTGCACCGATGCGCATCAGTGGGTGCTCGCCCATTGCGTGAGCTGCGCAGGCACCAGCCGGCCGAAACATACCACAGAACACGTGGAAAGTGGATGCTCTGATAGAACAGGGAGGAGGTCGTGAAAGCATATGATATGGAGTCTTATATGGATGTTGCCACGATCTCAACCTGTTGTGCGCTTATGCGTCCGCTTTAGTTGTAAGTTGTAGGTGTGCCCAATTTGTGCCAACATTTTCCAGCTGCATCCTGCTACTGGCAGGTTGTGATGCACAAAGTGCTTGCGGGTTAGTGGTGCCTTGTTGTCTTGGCGACCACATGCTGAAGATCGTCCAGATGCCTTTCCATGCCTTTAAACCCCAAAATCTGTCGCCTCCCTCCGAAGAACATATCATTACCTGTCGTTACACGTTTTGACCCCCGCAGAGCCTCCATAAACACGTTGCATATTTTACGCTACATTGGGGTGCTTGACCTGGGGTCAATCTAGACATATCTAGAATCTATACCTGGATTTTGCTTCACAATCGTTTTTGGGCCATGTTGGGGCTTTTCATCTCAACATCCATGGTTTGCTATATGGTCCCCAGTAGGCGCTACTATATATAGTTGGTTTGTATAGTAGGCAGATGTCCGCTGCTTCGGATTCACCGATCCTGGATGATCTGCGGAAACGAAAGGCGACACGCGCCTCAGGGCTTGGCCAAAGTGCCGTTGGACTGCGGTGCCATCAAAAGAAGTCGATTTAACATGATTTAAGACGATAGACAATAGAAGTCATTCTTTTTTGAGATACGAGATACTCGATAGTATAGTTTTGCGATATTATATATATATGTATATATATTCATATATACATATAGATTGTATAAGTTTATGATACATATAGCAATAGTAGCATGCATTTACAAGTCTAAGTTAGTCAGTCATTCTTTGGTTCTACACGCCCTTCTGGGGTCATTTGTGGCAATGTTACAGAGGAATTTGAGGAAATCTTGCGGTGTGTTCCTTCTAAGGATTCTAATAAGCTTAATGTCTTGGCCATTGGATCATTTGGTGGGGCATCTAGATACCGCCTACATTCCAAAACCCTAGGTGTAGCTGAGTTGGAGCCACTGGATAGAAAAGCCTGGCGTGCGTCCTCCAGAGTTTTTATTTTCTCTTTGTCTTGTCTTAGCCACCTCCCTAAACATCAGCCGCTGTGTTATTGGCACCTTTTACCCACTGGGTCAACCATGGGTCAACAATTCGGCTCAAGAGTGTGAACTAGAAAACAAACAAAGGTCTATATAATATATAGAAAGGATTGACAAAAAGGGCTGAGAGCTTTTCACAACTGCCCTGCCATGGTAATCAAGATCGTGTCCATCCTTTACCTTTTGCAGGCCTTTATCCGGCGAGACGGTCGTCCTTGTCAGGCGAGTGCTGCTTTCAAAAATGGACGAAGACAACTCAGAGAAATTGGAAATCCTTCTAGCCCTAAAAGTGGTGTGTTTGTTCCATTTGGTCCCACTATGTCACAGCTCGGTCCATTTCACTCGTTGATTCATTGCACGAATGAGTGGTAGATGCCACCCAAGCACAGCTGTTGAACGGCTTGGTGTTGCTTGCAGGTTCTCTCAGCTACGGTTCATGAGACAATTGGGAAGAACGCCGAGGAAACCAGAGATGGCACCTCATTCGAAAAGCACATCCACCTTTCAACAAAGGAGCCCAAAACAACAAAGGATCCCGATAAAAAGACAAATCATCACCCATCCCAACAAAGAACCAAAACAGCTCAGCAAAAAAAAGCACGAAGTAATTAGCAAAAAGCATGCTATAGAACATATAGGACTTCTTTACCTGGACACACAAGCTAGGGGTGCTTCATTAAAACAACACCCCCACCTCTCACCAACCTCTAAGGAGCTATCAATGGAAGCTTTCACCCCTTAGGCGTCGGTTCGCTGTTTCACCTGCTTTTCTTCCGTGTTCCCATGGGCCGGACCCGGTCCGTTTCGCCGGCGACCGCGGCGCTGCTGGCCCTCCTCCTGCGGTGCGGCCAGGAGGGTGGTCGGTCGGAGCGGTGGTGACCGGGTGGCGAGTTGTGGTGTTTGGAGAAAGAGAGGTCAACCCGAACAATCCGAGTGTTCTCGGCCAACGAGCCGACACGTGTCAGGGGTCCGGGCGAACCACTGGCCCGAACCTGGCTTCGGGCCCGGATTTCGGGAAAGGACAAGACCAGCACATGGACCGGCCCTAAGGGGCTTCGCCTCGAAAAGATGTGATTCGGGGTGTCCATTTACCACCCCGACAGTGGGTCCTGGTACAAGGATTTAGTGGTACAGATTTAATTACCGGTTTTTCAATAAAGAGGTTGGTAGAATGTTGTAGAGGTATAAGTTACAAGTATCAAGTATCTAACTTTTTTTTGGATAGACTTGCAAGAAGTCGTGTCCCTTGTTCCAAGGTACTTGAAGTCGGGTCCAGGTATACATGCCGATGTCGTGGTTGCAAGGGAAAATGTATAGAGTTGAGTTTCCACCACAACATACATTCAACAACTCACTCAACCAGCTTTGTGCTCTCTGACGGCACCTCTGAAGTCTGAGTGCTTGGGTTTGGAAGTTTTCTTCCATGAATTCAGCACTTGTGACACTTGGAATCTGGATGTTTTGCACCAGTATGCACCAGTTATCTCAAGCTCATGAGAGAATGTTTTAAAGCCTCATGTTGACAGAGACTGAGATTTTTTGAAGGCAGAGACTGAGACAGAGACTGAGTTGATCAGGCCTCATGTCCTCATGTACATGTTGCGATTTTCTTGCTTGCGGTTTCTACTGTGCTGGCACATGCTTCAAGGAGCTTTTCGTCGGATTGAGATTCCCAACCCGAAGGCCCGTGGCCATGTTGCGCCTGGCAGCGAGCGAGTTTGCCGGGTTTTCAACATCTTTGAGCGAGTTGTACTGGACATGGCGACGTTTGGACGCTTTCATGCTTCGCCCGGCGAAGCGGAACCGCCCGGCACACGCGGAACAGCGCCGGCGGCACCGGCCTTGGGAGGAAAGTGCGAGCCACCTCGCGCCTGGCTTTGACCTCCGCCAGGCGGAGTTGTGTTGGTGGGGAGGATCATGGTTTTCTTCTCTTCGATGGATGATTGATCTACATCTATAGACCCAGACCCAGACTTCACTTCTGCGCCATTTTTGGTGTCATGTTTCTCGGCGAGACGGAAAACAAAGACATTGTTGTTCGCACATTATGCGGTTTTTGAAGGGTTCACACGGGCTGAAGCAGGAATGCAGATCAGGTGGCTCAACCCAAAGAACTAGATGTCGAATTCCTAAGGGTTAACCTTTGGCTGCCTCCTTTCCAAGCTGCATCACCTTGTGATTCGCAGCTTGGCCTCGCCAGGAATGTGTCCATCGTGAGCGACGTGCACGGAAGCGTCGTACCTTGGCGCGGAACCCGCGGCAGTTCGTCTCCAGACCACGCGGCACGCGGCGGGGGAAAACGTCTCGTGTGGGTGGGTATGGGAGGGCGCAACGAGCGCCTCTTGGATCAATTCCTAATTCAGAGGTTTTTACAATCCATGTCCATGCCCTGGTGTTTTGTTATTGATTAGGATGATTAACTATAATGAGGAGTCTACTTTATGTCCGGTGCACCTGATCGCCTGTGTCGATCCTTAAGCCCTGTGGATTCGGCGATGATGCTGCAAAAAGACGACGAATGAGAGGCGAAGCGACACCAGTGGCAAACCGACACCTGGTTCTTCTAAAGTGAACCTTTTGAGATCCCCCCCTTTGAGGTCACTTGAGGTCAAGCCTCGCAAGGGTCACTTTTTGAAGTAGCTGGTAGGCCTGGTAGGCATTGCTTTGATTGACATCATGGACTTGGCTACTGTTGATGTCCGAGGATGTTTGTTTCCGAGCATTTGGCAACCCTCATCTGAGTGTTCAGTTTGGGGACCATTCTGCAAACGAGTTTTCCACATCAATCCATCAATGGCCATGGTAAAGTGGGGTAAGGGCTCTAAGACTGAAACTTTTGAGATGGACAAGTTGAATGATGGCTTTGACATGTTTTGACCGTCCAAGCAATGAAAAAAGAGAAACAAAACACACACACACAGCTTCAGCCGGGTGAACGTCAGGTGATGTCCAGTTCATCAGGAACCGGTGATTTTCGCGCACCAACCGCGGACCCACCCCTCCTCGCACCTCACGTGTGAGACGCGAAAACCGCGTGGCCGTCGAACACCATCGCCTGGCTCCAGGCAGGCGCTGCTGCCTGTGCAGCCTCCTGTGCACAGGACTTTCCCGACGCCACAGAGCTCATCGAAGAGCTCTTCGAGCGATGGGATAGGCCGTCGGGTGGTGCGGGGCAGGGAGGTGCGAGCTCACATCCAGGAGCGATGTGTAGTAGATTGTAGTCCTTTGGCACAGGATGATCACAATTTTTGGAGAAAGGCCTGTAGTAACCATCATCATGCATCGTTACTGGTAATATACACTATACATAGATATGTTTCATTCCGCGCCCGGGCCGCATTGACAGACAAGGGGTTTGGAAATTTGGGTGTGTCAAAGCCGGATGAATTGTATCACAGGTCGACCACAACACAATCTTGCATTGGCAGCTTTGCCAAAGACGAAGACGAAGTGAGAATCCGATCTATCAATTGAATATGTTTGTCTCCATCTCCTGACCTCACTTGTTCGATTGACCACGGTGTGTGTGGGAGGTTTTCCATCTTTCCATCCAGGCTCCGGCTTCGACCTTGGACCGGTGGCCGGTCACCGCCCACGTCCGGGGGAAACCCACACCTCCGCGGTGAAACCACCGCCAGGGACGGGAGTGGAGAGCTTTCACTCGAAGAGTTTGGACCCCAAGGGGGGTTGATGAGCCGATGGAAGGGATGGAAGGGATGGAAGCGAAGCACACGAGAAACCCAGAGCCAGCTGGATGAGACAGGACCCAGAATGGATACCGGTCCTATCCTCCAATAAGGACCCTAATTGGAAACAAGGAATCAACACCAGCCAGTTTGTTGTGTGTTTGTGCATCCATTTAGCCCTGGGCCGTCATGGCTTCCGGATGTGTGTTTGTTTCGCTGCTTGGGCGTCGCAACAGGTCACTAGACGGTTTCGACTGGCTGTTCACTGGTGATATCAGAGTTGGCCCGTCGATGCACCTGCTACGACATGATATCGCCTTTGCGGTTTAAAAGGCAAGGTAGTTTGGTAGTTCAGCAGATGCGCTTGTGTCGTGAAATTTGAGCACATGCGCGACCTTCAGTCAGTGGTGAACACTTCTGGAACCTGGTGTTTTGAATGGTGAACTCGAACTTGAAGACGGTTGAACCCACTGCACTACCGTCGGGGCATTACTTAGACCGGACGCGCTGAACGCTCTACTGAGAATGTGTGGAACGTGTGGGTCCATTGTTGTAGAACGGAAGGTTTCTTGAGGCTAAGCGGTTTTTGGTCAATAATTTCTAGTGGTACACTCACCCAACATCAGTATAGATACACATGTAGGTACAATACATGTCACCACAACCCGCCAGCCCGCGCCCGCCCGCGCCAGCCCGTATCCAATGTATCCAGGCCGTTCAGAGGCGCGTCCACTTGGCCGCCCGGTTTGGGTCTTTGAACCTACCAAGCGCAGTGCTTGGCATGCGCGGCCGCCTGCGCGGCACCGGCCCAGGTGGCTCGTGGTGGCCATGGCTCACAAGCTGCAAGTGGGAGTTTGCTCCTTGGGGCGAGGGCTCAGAGCCAAGAGTGGAGCATCACCTGGCGAAGTCTTGTTGAAAGAGAAGCCCTTAATGATCTGGCAGCGAGGGACTTCCACCACTGAGACGGTCCACATGGCACTTGCAGCCTTTGAGGAGTTACCACGTGAGACGCAAGACCTCATTCGGAGCTTGCATTGTCCAAAGCCATTGCCACCGGCCATCCGAAGCCTTCCACACTTCAGAGCAGAGGAGTTGCAACTGGCGGCCACCTTGGAGGTGTGTCAAACACGCACGGCCTTGGCGACCCAGGTGGGGGGAGTCCAAAAATGGTTTCCAAAATCCGCTGGGCCGGTGGATGGCGCGAGAAGGGACCTCCCAGATTATACCGCGTTGGTTGGTTCCTGGACCCCCTGGCAAGGTGAATGGACACCCGGAATCACCTTCTTATAGCTGGGGTTATGAATATGCCACCCGGTTCATCGTTGCTGGTTGTGTGGTTTTTTCCCTCTGCCACCCACCCAGACCCAGCCACCAGGCAGCTCTCTTCCATCACGTGGCCCGTGCGAATCACCATTGTCGACCCAACAGCGCCATCCGCGTGAGCCGTGCCGACCCGTGCGCCACCACCGTGCGCTTCGTGGCACTGCGACGCATCGCAGAGGGAGAGGAGGTGGGTGACGGAGAAAAAAACGGAGTTTGGGGCCTCACAGAGTTTTCTCTTGTTTGGTGAGTATAACAGCCTGTATGAATGAGTTTGTCAGTTGGCCAGGTTTTGAAAAGAAAGGGGGAAAGGGAGACAAGATTCATGAAACAAAGGGGTCATGGATGGTCATGGTAAGTCGAATCAATTCACTTAGAGATACTGCCATCTATACATTGAAACCACGGTGAAAACTGTACATAATACCCCTACTACCTTAAGTGACAAGCCTAGGGGTCACCATCTACTAGAGCGCTGACACCTAGGAGGGGGGGTTAATTGTTTTCCTGGTGTCGCTTCCCAATAAATGAACGTGTTGGTGTCATTGCTGCTATAAAGTAAGCGCTCTTTCATGGTTTTGTCCCTCCTCATTGGGCCGACAGGAGTTCAACCGTAGAAATGCTCAATGGCCTGTTGAGCACGTATCCTTCATGCATCGCACTTTTTCTCCAAGTGGGTCCAGTCGTACACTCTCGAGCCATTTTTGCGTTGTTTGGCATCCGTCAAACCATGTATTGTGTCCGTGTAATGAAGGTAGAATCTAAACAAGAACCGCGCCGGGCGCTAACAATTATCAAAGATGGACTGGCCTATTATCTCTTGGGTTCTCTTGGCATTTATTCATGGACAGCCGTAAACGGCCCACACGGGTAGCATCCGGCGGGGACCAAGCAACTAGAGACCACAAGGTTCTCAGCACGCCGTCTGAATGGCACCACCTATTGGTCGATGTTGGTCGTTTTTTCGTGGATGCCTCTCTAAGCCGCCCACAGGTACAACGAACGTGTAAACCGTAGTTCAATCATGGGAGCACATGGAATTTTGGAAGCTGGGGACTAAAGGGAGTGTTCAAAAATACCGCTTGGCACGCCGGGCGCTACTGTATGTTGCTCTCTTTGTGGGCAGTGTGCTGCAGGCTGCACATGCTGCGCATAGGATGCCTCGCTGGGGACCAGTTATGGGATAGGTCAAAGTAACGCTTGTTTGTCATCCATTTGGGCACGTCCTTAACCATGGACGGACTGATAGAGCAGTGTTGGGTTTAGACTAGCTTCGTATGGCTCTGTCTTGGATGCGGCTGAGATGCCAGCAACGGCAAATGATCGCAAAATCGATTGAGTTTGCTCACTCCAAACATCCTTCTCCAGATGGATGATGTATCAACAGATGGTGACATCCTCTCTTTCAGATTCCCTACAAGATCCTACATGTGTGCCCCTGGCCAGGTCACAATCTCCTACCTCCGTGAGGATCTGCTGATTTTGCCATGGACACTTCGGAGGAGACGGTTGAGGGCTTGGGGCTTCGAGTGCTCTTGCGCGCGTTGCAGGGCTGAGGCAAAGGAATGGGAGGACTGGAAAAAAACACCTCCGAGACTTGGTCGAGAACTTAGATATAGAGAAGGTGAAAGAGTATTTTTTGGTGGTTTTCTGTTGGGGACACTCTCCAGAAGCCGCTCGAAGCTCTATTATATAGGTCGTAGAATTCTCTCTCGCACTTTCTTCCTGGGCAGCTTGAGGCTCCCACTCGTGAAAGCAACCCACATCTCCAAAGAACAACTGGAAGCTTCATGGTGGCGCGACCGCCAACGCCTAGACCTCGGCGTTAGCGCCGAGGCGCGGCTGCGACGCTGGGCCTTGGGTTTGGGTGGCCCGGAACGCTGGCGTCAGCGCGCAGCGCGCTTGCGGCGGCGTGGGTGGCAGGAAGAAGTGCTTTGCTTTCATCGGAGGCTTTGCGAAGAGCTCATCACACTGTGTCAAGGGCTGCAAACTAGAGACGCTCGAACTGAAGTTTCTGAAGCGAAGGTGCATCGTGCTTGGCGCCGGCATGTTTGGCCTCGGCATCATCGTTTGTTGAGCTACAGTGCCCGGGAGGCTTGTGAGATTCATCTCTGGCGTGGTGAGGTCCGGGATCCATACGTCCAAACCAGAGGAACATGCCCACAAACCACATGGAATAGTTCATATGCAGTACATGATTAGTAGCTATGTTTTTGTATGACCCTACTGTAACTATAGCCATTCATTCCATACATGAGGTTGCCCACACGTAAGCTGACTGACAACACCGATTTGCATTTGGCAATGTGTAAAGTGCTTTAAAGCCCCACATGTTTGGGATGGAACATCACCTTCCAGATCCTTTTTGTGCTTTCCGGCTGCCATCATGCAGCCGATCCCCGAACCGATGAAGACAGTGTTGTTGTTTTTTTGGGGAAGAGCAGGACATAGTTGGATTTCACCATGTAAGTCGAGCACCCACCTAGACTCGCCTGAATCGCATATATCATGTCATGGCAAGAATCACAAGGATGGAACCATATAAGGAACCTAAGAGGCCATCGCTATTAGGTTGGAGGCCATGGCTACTAGTAGCAAGAAACTACTAGTTTGGAGGCCATTCCTTCCTAGTTTCCTATTGTTATTCGTGTGGCCATGTGGCCGACGTTGGCCGCTCTCAGGTGGCGAAGGCCTTGGAAGCAGCGAAGACCTGGCGCTTTTGCGTGCACCAACTGCTGGGGACCACTCGATGCACCGAAGCATTCCTGGCGCAGGAAGTCCAGGGTGCGCTTTGGGAAGCCCAAGGTTTTCACAAAAGGGCCTGGATGCTGTACAAGAAGATTCTGATGGAGGCCGAGCCTTTGTGGAATGCCTGGGATGAAGAAGATTTCTTCGTGCCCTACTTGAAGCAGCACATCGCCCAGTTGTCGCAACGACCCGTTTCGTATGAAATACGGACATCGTCAACGTCTCGTTGAACGAGTTTCAGCAGAACGTCTCGCAGCACGAGAGGCATAGCTGCCGCAGTGATGTGCTTCAACCACCTGAGAACACCTCGAGCGCCAGACAGGATGGAGGCAGAGTGAGGCAGAGTGCCGCGCCAGGCGAACATGTCGTCGACTCTCACCGAGAGCAGTGAAGTGTGAGGCATCGCTGGAGATGCCGCATGGTCTGGCAGAGATTTTGACCAGAACATCCAAGATTGGTGGTCTTTGATTGACATCATTGGACAAGGGCGGCTTTGATCATAGACTCATCGACGTTTGCTCTGGATTTGATCGTTCGTCCTGGCCGCTGCAGTTTCAAAAGACCTTTTGTGCCGCGGTGATGCCCCCAGCAGTTGGAACGGCGCCGAAGATCAGACCTCAAACAACATACGCACGCCACTCAGTGAGTGTCTCACTTCATCTCTTCCAAGACGCAAGAGTGTCTTCCCCCAAACTCAATGGCGCAGGTGTTTGGGCCACCCCAAAACCACCGCACCCGTCTGCGCCGTTGGCGAAGCCACCGACCTAAGGATCCCGGTCGGCCACTAGACATGCGTATGTCAAACATTCGACGTACTGACGTATGGCTTCCCCCAGGACCATTTGTCAAACATGTCTAGGGGTTGTATAGGATCCTCTTAGAGAACAAAAGCCATGGCCTTTGGGTTCCGTCCGTCCCGGCTGCTTTTTCGGCTCGTATATCGTATCGTATATACCGCTTCCACCAGCGGCCGCGCCCGAGGTTTCGAGAGGGCTTACAACGGGACGGCGCCTTCCTGAAGTCCCGCGCGAGGTCGGGCGGAGAACTCATCGTCCAGTGAGTGTCGGTGGGCGGAGATCACGGAGAGTCATAGCCTCGTAGCCCCGAACTGATAGACCGACCTTCTGCCGAACTTGGCAAATGACCGGTCCTGTTCATCTCTTAAAGCCAGCCAAGTTCGGCAGACATGTTTGCAGAGTTGGAAGATCCAGGTGTGTCCAGGTCAAGGGGAGTGTCAAGGGGTGTTTCTTCATGAGCCACCCCGATAGGGGGGTCCTGGCAATGAATTTTGGGTGTTGCTTCATGTTGGTTCATTTGAGATCCAAGCATGCAAATGAGAAACTCCTCCCTTTTGTGGCTCTGGGTCCAAGAGGTGCCAAGGAGATCATTGCCAGGCAGGGCCAATTTCCCTTGAAATGCTTGGATTGGGGGCAGACCAAGCGAGAAGGGTCCCGCCTTGCTCGGCTTGGATTTGTAGCTTCAAAGCCTTTGCCCAGCGGATTAACTGGAAGCTAGCACTCCACCTTTCAGCATATCCCATGTGAAAAAGAGGGAAGGAATAGAACGGAGACATCAGAAGTGTCAGAAAAAGATCAGAAGGATCCGCGGGAAAACGTGGTACAAGTTGTATCCAAATGACTGGCGCTGCTCTCTCTTGGCCTTTCGAGAGGACATCCGTTCGAGACATCTTGCTGGAGCCCGTTGCAGGCACCGGTTCAGCTGGCGTCCGGACACCAGTTCACTGAACGAAAGATGATGACACTGTTTCTTTACACCAAGAGTCACAAAGGGGTGGTGTTTAATCCCCAAGAGAGTGAATAATGGGCACCCCTAACCTCCATGAGCATCGCACCCCTAACCTCCATGGCTGCTGGTCTGTTTCTTTTCTGTTTTTTTTGCGTTTCTCCTTTGGAGCTCAGGCCCTGACTCTTGGGGACGGGCATGGTGGCGACCAATCACAGCCCACGTGACGCACCCGGTTCAGCTCCAAAACGATCGACGCCAGGGCTCCTCTCACGTACCTGGGAGGGAGCAAGCGCACATGCCGCAGCACTCACAGGTGGGTTTGGGGGTGGGGAAAGTGAACGTGGCCGCTGCTGACTTTGAGCTTCGCGCTTTGAGGGTTTTAGGGCTGTTGGCCTCAGCAGTGAGAGAAAGCGGCAGCGCAGGCGCAGTGTGGGATGCCACGATGCAGCGTGACTTGGTGAAGGCATTGAACGCCTGCGCTTAGATTGAAGTTTTTCGCACATGTGTTTCTTCCCTTCCTGTGTTGCACACATTGAGGGCAAAGGATGGCAGAAGGAATGCGAAAGACCAGTTGAATCAACAAGTTCAATTAACATATATCATTATTTTCATTCATATTGATTCGATATATTAATTGTGATCACAGACCAGAAAGGAACCAGGACTCTCTTCGACTTTGTTCGGCCGCCGTTCTCTCCGTTCGCTCCGGTCGCTCCGAGACTCGCTGCGTCGCGACAGCGCGGCACGGAAGGGAAAGGACCAAGGAAACAGCGCAGTCACAGCGCATGGGGAGGGGTTGAGTCCCTAATTCAGCTGAGTGGATGTGACAGGGGCACCACTTCCTCCGTTCGCTCGGCACCCCGTCTGGTGACTCCTGCGACAGCTCTCTCCTTTACAAAAGACCTATAGAAGTCCAATGACTATATTTTGACCCACTGAAGTAAAGCATATTCCTTTTCGGGTCAGCTAAAGACCATTCTTTTGATAGTCTTTGATTCCCAGAGTATATTTTTTAAGAAGGAATAGAGAGAGGAGTTAGTTGCTGTGCCACAACCCTCTGGCACATGAAACACATGTCACATGCGACTGAAAGCTGTGGCTTTGATCTTAGATTTGGAGCAAGAACGACAAAGAAGCTAAACAATTATCATGGAACAGGTTTAACATGTTTTAGACAAGAGCTGTATCATTACTTTGGAAAACGATTGCATTAAGGACAACAACATTGAAAATACGTTCCGCCGACTTTCGGCCTTCATTGAAAAGAAAAACCACAGCAAGATCCGATCAAAAACGAACCACGACACCATACAGAAAATCCATAGAAAAAGCATGAACAAACAACACAACAAACACACACACACAAAACTCTTTTTGTCACAAAACACGAACAAAACGTGCTCGTTCTTTCTCGCTCTTTCTCGTTCGACTTGAGGCGTGGCCTGTGTGGGCGACGGTTGCCGCGTCGCCTGGCGAGACGGCACACGGCTGGTGCGCTCGGCGCCCACCGCCGTGGGGCAGGCGCGCAGTGCTTGCGCTCCGAGCGAAGTGGCTGGTCGCCGCAGCTCGAGATTGGAGGTGTGTTTTCTTTCATGAACTGAGTAGGACTCCGTAGGACGGTCATTTCCAGTCGCAGTTCTTTGTGTTTGTGTGTGGTTTTCCTTTCTGTTGGTTTGGTCATGTTAGGGCCTGGGTTGGATCGTGGGTGCCGTACGTTGGAAGTTTTCAGGTGCCCCTTTAGTGGCCAGTTTCATGATTTGGTAGATCTCATGTGGCTGTAGTTGGACACGGCTCATACCTTGAGATTCCACAACATCCTCATGTTGAGACATGCTTAGCCGGCAGGCGATTCTCAATGGAGAGGGTCGTTTTGTGCCTTGGCAATCGTGTATATGCCAATGGGTATCCGGGCATCCTAGTACTTTTAAGTTACTAGTAGTAAGGCCAGGAGCCCCGTTCGTAGCGCCCTTGCTCCTAGTAGCGATGCCAGGAGCCCCTAGTAGCGCTTCTTCTTACTAGTATATATATAGCTATTCAGCGCTGCCGGTCTTGGTGTGTTCTTTTCGGTGTTGCTTCTGTCGCGGCCACTGCGCTGGCCGGTGAACACCCATCGATCGTCGTTCAACAACGCGCTGGCGATTGGATGGGGACAACACTTCAGTCAAGTCAATCAAGATGGTCGACCTGGTTCACCGACCAAGGTGGTCATTGTGTTGTTTAATTCCTGTTGTGCTGCCCGTGGAACGGCAACTAAGCCTTAAGCGTACACTGCGTGTGGATACGTGGTGCATTCTCAGTTATTTGTCCAAACTGTTCCAGCTTGGCTCATCATTATTGACAACGAACTATCATCAGCCAGTGGAACATGGGCATACTGGCTTTTGTATATATAGACCCCCAAATGGATAGCATCAAAAATAAAAGTATATCCCCACTAAGAATAATTTGGATATCGTTTCTATCTACTTGGGGACCACTACACTGTCATTTCCAACCTTTGCCCGACCGTACCCCTGGTCTCAATCCATGTGAAGTTCCCCTAAGGATCTGGGAATCAGACCTCATGCAAGAGGAAGCATGAAAGAAGCATGAGCTTGTTTGCGTTGCTTGCTGCTACTCAAGCTAGTACTTACTCTACCCCTCTTAACTGAGACGTTCGCTATACTTCTGCTAGTCAACGGTGACTAGTACGGCATACTACGGTCTAACTTAGTATTCCCCCTTTCTCAAAAAGAATCGCCATAGCCTAGCCCCCGTTCTCCAAAGACATCCGCTTTCAATCAGCTCCCGGCGCCACACCGGCGCCACACTCGGCGCCCATGCCTTGGTTGCTGCTCTCCGCCACGAGCGGTGACACGGTGCGGCGCTATGAGCCCGTGCCTTTGCAGCTGTCCTCCGCCAATGAGGTGCCACAGATGTGGAACAAACCTCTCACTTTTTCCATGGTTTGTCCGCTTTTTGATGTGGAAAAGTCGTGTCCATAAGGAGCAAGAACGAAGAATACTATATTGTCTATAGAGTCTATAAGGAAAAGGGGTAAAGAATGTTTGACGAGCAAGGAAAGATAATAGGTTTGAAGGGAAACATAGAAGAGAAAGTAAAGGCTGATCAGAGAAGAGAGCAAAGAGCTGGTCAGCCTGTCCAGTCTACCCATATTCTACCCTTTAGTCTTTGGTGGAACTGGTCAGAGTTATAAATAGGGCCCTAAGAGTCTCATGGTAAAAGCGTTCCTTATAGCCGGCAGTGTGGCATGCTACCCCGGAGAGGCTTCCTACCGATGCATGTTGGAAATGAGCTCGGTGCAGACGGTCTATTTGGAAGCTGAGCTCTTGGAAGGAGATGCGAAGGAACACCTTTGCAGCAGCGGTCCGATTTCTTTGCGTGATGAAGACTGGGTGTGTTTGAGCACGACCGAAACGGCCAGCGGCGACCTTTTCAAGTGGCCTTGCTCCATTTGGAGTGTTGGTAGAAGTGACCAATAGCCACGCCAACAAGACTCATGGGTGACCTTTCAGGCGTTCCCACCCCTTGGAAGAAGGATAGACCAAAACCCATTGGTTCCAGTCAGTCTCCCTATGTACATCCCCGCATGTTGAAGGATCATCCACCCTGGTCTAAGGTTAATGTCCTGCATGAGAGATTCTCCTGGCTGGACCTTCTGCTTTGATGTGAAAGAGCGGCCAGATGGCACAGCCATCCTTACACATGTCCGGGTCGTGCGGACTACTTCAGTGACCCAACGGCCTCGTCCCGCAGAAGAGTGCACCCGCGGCCACGCGGCGGACGGGCCACTCCATCGCCTTCCGGAGGTTTTGGATTGCACTGAGCCGGAAGTTGAGGGATCGCAGCACCCTGCACATCGAAATTTGCTTCGACTCTATCATCAACCCACTGAAGAGATGTTAAAAGCTGAATTCTGGGAGGGGCTGGTGCAGCACCAGTTGAAAATTGGTGTTGATCCAATGGCACTGCCCATGCAGTGTCCGACACCAGCAGTGCCAAAGGCACATTTGCAAGAGATGGGCTACTGCCGTTTGCCCATGTCTTTCAGTGGGATGCAGGACATCGTTTTGGCCATGGAGAGATTCCAACACCTGGGTTTTCCTCCTGCAACTCGGTTTGGAAAGCACAGCTTTGGTGATCCCGGGAACGCATGCCCTGAGAATGCCGGGGTGCGTGCCTCAAAGACAGCTTAGAGAGTAGGTCATGGGCCAGGTTTGTCAGGTGCAAGGTCCGGCTGGTTTTCGCACAACACCGGTTGATGTGGATGCAACATCACCGAAATCATCATCAGCGATATCATGGACATGCTTAGTTTACATACAGACCTCCTTCCAGAAACGAAACCGTGCCACTATCTAAAAATTAGCACGACTAGATTTCCGACCCGGTGGCATATACATGTTACATGACCCCTACAGACATGACCTGGCACCACTCTCAATATTTGGGGATCACTTCTCTTTTTGGTGAATTCGCTTCGGGCCTCCGTCCACTTTGCCTCCTTCCTTCTGGTGGGAACCTTCGACCACGTCACTCGTTCGTGGTTGCTCTTCTCGAATTCTGAGAACGGCGCAGAAGGACAAAAAGAAGGGAACCTGATAGTGGATGACCACAACTTGCAGATCTCAATGTTGGACACTTCACTTTTGGACTTGTACCCGCCAGGACTGGCGTTTTCCTTGGGTTCAACACCGGAGCGTGGCCCCCACATGATCCCATGGCACATGTGTGCCAAAGCCACCGATGTGAGGTTTTTGTTTTCATGTTTGATGAGCCCTGGCGGATGCTTCGTGAGCTTTTTCCACTGGTCGCCACCTTGCTGGAGAAGGAGGAGAAAGACGTTCAGGTGAGCCTTTCAGTCCCTATGATGCAAGTGGGCAAAACCCTCCGATTTACATGGACAATCACGGGCCCCCCAAAACCGCATTTTTTTTGCAGACGAACATGGTTGCAATCACATGTGTCAATTCTCAGGGTCGTTCGTTTGCAACCTCATGGAGCCAATTCTGGGTGCTGTACTGTCACGGCCCAGAAGTGATTGCAAAAGAGCGATGGCCTCCAACCTAATAGCAATGGCCTCCAACCAAAGATCACATTTAAGACTTAAGATAGACTTGGACCATCTTGGACCTCTTCAGTCACTTCATCATTTTACCGATGTTCAACAAGACGACACCAAAAACGCGACCGTTTTTCGTGAGCCATGCGTTCACACCGAGGTCTTCGCTTGGGCTCTTCGCCCAAGTTCCGCGGACGACGCCGAACGAGACGGCAGAGACGCCTTCGCTGGAGACGCCTTCGGCCAGGCGCATCGCGACAAGAGCTATCGGGAGTGTCATACGGCAGAGGGACGCTTGGGGATGCTCACCACTTGGAGCCTTTGGCTGAAGACCGCCCGACGCGGCCCTTTTCGCGGCCCAACAAAAAGAACCCGAAAAGGTGTTTGACCCAAAAGCGCGGAAATAACATGCGAAACACGGATTGGATTCCTTGCTATAATGCAAATTTTAAAAGCTTGCTTCGCGTCTGGGACTTCTCTATGCGTTCATACTTGTATACAGCTTTAAGCTTCTGAAAAAGGGATTGGACTTGTCAAAGCATTGTGTTTGTTCTTTTTCCGTTGGCCTCATTTGTTTGTGGGTGGCCCCTGCATGATGGGCTTTGTTGCGCACCCATGTTTTACAACATATTCTGTTGTGTGGCGGGCTGGACCTGAGCACAAATTTCTTGCTCTGCACTCTCCTTTGCGCTTTAGCAGTCTTGTGCTGAGCGTGTGGATTTGTGCTGAGAGAAGACAGGGCAGGAATTAAATATAACGATATTAACGTTGGACTAGTCGTTGGGCTGGAAGGCACCTGCAAAAAAGCCATAGTCAAGGCAACCCGTTCAAGAGGTTTGAAGTGAATGAACGTCCACAATGCTGTTGCAAGAATGCAGCAGTGACTTTAACAAGGGGTGCCGGTGCAGCTTCTATGGTTTACCTGAACGCCAGGGATCCTCAGTTTTAATCAGAGCATTCTCCACTTCACCTGGTTCCTTTTCCATTCAGTTTGCTAAACATGTGTAGGGCTGCGCATCTTGTTTCAGCCCACACATGGCCCTATCGTCGCCCTAGTTCTCCGCATGGTCCCTTGCCTCCTCGCGCGTCCGGTCCTACCGGGGAGCCGAGACCCGCGCGTCGTTTCGAGGATCCCCTTGGTGCCGGTCACGGAAGAGGACGGTTGTATGCATGTGGTGCCGTCCAACGGAGACGAAGCGGAGGAGCTGCCCTGCCGGGCTGGAGGAGAAGCGTTGATGTGCCAAGCAGGAGAGGTGCCTGGGTAGATGACATCCACTTGAAAGACAGAAGCACAAAAGGGTGAATGAAAGTGGTAGACTTCAGATCTCCGAAGTAGGCACAACCTAATTCTATGGGTCTCATAAGGCAATTAAGAAAGAACAAAGACACACACACACATGATGGTATAAAATACATATACCCTATAGAGCTATATATATATACCGGTATACCTTTTTCGGGTCACCTAAAGACTATTCGTTTGATAGTCTTTGACTCCCAGGATATATATTAGCCAAATAGGGCTGTACCTAAACTCCGACTCAGGATCCCACGGAAGTGGTGAACCCAGGCCCTGCCACTCTAGAGGACCGGGCTTCTAGGATCCCATGCCATCCACTTCCCCGACTCGTCGCGCGTGGGACTTTTGTCTCGTTTTTCCGGTTGGCTTTTCGAGGTGCTGATTTGGAAGGTGCCTCGGCATAAGAAACCTTCGTTCGGTGTTTGGCCAAGCTTAAAACTGGAGAGGACTATAAGTAAAGCTTGCCCCACAAATAATAGGTTCCAAGGAGCTTGGAAGGTTTCCCGTTTTCTTGATCTTTCTGGCTCCTCTTCCTTTCTCGAAGGCAGAAGGGATGGCAAGTCCTTCTGCTCGTCCCTTGTTCCGAAGACCCGAGGCCAACCTCATCCATTGGGGCGCCCGCGCCACGGCGCGCTCACGCGCGCCGCGGCGGAGCATGGCCACGGCCTTCGTGACGGAGGAGGTGCACCCGATCCGCGCGAGGCTTGAGGCACACCCGGATCGGTATCCGGTAAGCCATACATGGAGTGTTTGGGTTTGAAGATGTTTGAAGAAAGGAAGACAAAGGTGGGTCAAGGATAGTCAAGGGTAACAAGAAGAAATGTGTTTTTTTCCCGTGTGATTCCGTATGATGATCGTCTTCAAACAGTGTGTAGGGTATGTGCTAGTAAGCCAGGAAACAGCAACAGTTGGTAAACGATTATCGTGTTTTTTTTCCAGATAGGCCTGCAACCTGACCATCCTCGCCCATCCTGATCATCCACAAGGCCCTAATCATGGGAGATAATCAGAATCAAAGTGACCTAACTGTCAAACACACTTCCTGAAGAAGCTGGGTAAATGTAATGCAGCATGGTTGTGTTCCTGTTGTTTACACATCATCCGAATCTATCCATATCTAAAATCAGTGTCCTAATATATTGTTGTTTTCCTTCCTTCCTTCCTTCCTTCATTCCTTCCGCAGGTCCCAGCCTTTGGGGCGCTCGCCACGGTACCGGCCACCGAGCTGCCCCGGGACGTGGGGACACGGCTCAGGCGCCGGTGTCCAGCGTGCCGCGCTCACCGCGTGCGGCCGCGCCATCCCCGTTTGGAGAGAGGGCCCATCTAAAATAAGAGATAGGGGTCCACAGAAACCAGCCCCAGACACGATCTGTTTGGGACTGCCATGTCGGACTGCCGCCCCAGACAGACCCCCAGTCAACCACCCCTGGCCTGATCGGCAGTCCCCATGGAGTGTCTGGGACCTTTCTTGGGATTGTGCCAGATCACACTCTCCATCCGCTTGATGAATGTACTCAGGCTGCTGCAGACTAATCAGACTAATATACGGATCTGACAATTGACACATGTGGATTGAACATGATTGAACCATTTTCCTTTACAACCCGGCAGTTTTCAGGGCCCATGTTAATCTGCAGGAGGGTTATTGTAAAGTCAGAAACAATAGGCTTAGGCACCTTCCCCCAGATGATTCATGGTGAGGGCTAGGAGGGGCTTCATCTTCCCAGTGATTATTTATAGACCTCTAAAATTTTCACTGAGCAGTTTGAAGGCTTGGTGGGGGGCAAGATACCAAGTACTGCAGTTCGTATCAAACTTCCAATTTGACATACTTTGACAATCTTTGACAGCATGTGCCACTCAGGCTAGATCTGTTTGGGATGCTTAGGCACCTCAAAAAGCCTCAAACGACATCAATCCGAAAAACATTGTCAAATGCCTCTTGGGTCTTTAGTGAGCAGATGTTTCTCGTTGAACATTCGAGTGTAGCTTGTGGCACAGAGTGCCCAGAATCCTCAAACTGGGTCAACGCTGGTTCCAGTACCTTTCCTGCTGTTCTTCAGTCACACCAGAGGCAGGGTTGACCTGGGCATGTCTCTTAAAATCCGGTCAAGTCCACCTGTTGGCATTGCCCAGTATTGGCTTTAACGAATGAAAATCATCTCAAGAAACAAAGCACAGACAAAAGTAACTACCAGGACCACGGAGGGGGTTGTTATTGGACGGAAAATGCATAGTCAAGGGTGTTCATAAACCACCCTTTCCGTGGCTTCCGTGGTCCTTATATGGTCTTTAGAGTTGTAGCTGCATCCGATTTGCCAGTTCCACAAAACTGAACAGTTCATGAACAACTCGCTTGGGGGGGAGGCGTCGAAGGCGTTCAGTTCAGGCGCCCGAACCGTTCGGTTCGTTGGCGGTTCGGCTTTGGAGCATCGGAGCGGCCTTCTGGGTGTGTCTGAGCGACCTGGACGACCGACCTTCGACTCCCCCTTCTCAGTGGGGGGATTCCCCCATTGAAAGGCACACCCAAACAGTGCCAGGGTTGCTTCGCGTAGTTTCGACCACACCGTTGCTTGCACACCCTCCTGTCAGCAGCACGCAGTGGCCAGGGTCATCTTGAAATCGCTCTTGCAGTACAAGTCCTGGTATCCCGATTTTCGCGGCTTCGACTTCCTGGCTGGAGAGAAAAAGACGCGAACGCGAACGCAGTGCTCAGATGCAGACACGGTGGTCATAGCGAGACCGGTGGCTCCTTCTTCAGACAGGGAGTCATCCTTTTCCGGAGTGCCAGTAATTTTTGGCACACTGAACGTTCCGTGAACAGATCATGGATCCTCTTCCGCGGCGCGCGCACCTCACCCCGCCTCACCTCGCCTCTTTTTGCGCAAAGCATTTGGACCAAGGTGTACAACCTGTTCTCTCGGCAGCTGGCTGTTTTCGTGCCCAACTTTTGGGTCACTCGGCGCGGACCTGCGGTGTACAGCCCGGCCCTGCCTCGCGAACCGCGGAAACCTCCCCCCGGAATCGAACGGAATCGGGAGCTTCGATCGGTTCGGTGCGACGGTGCAGTCCACCGGTCAACGGAGCGTCGGACGGCGACTGGAGCCCAGTCGGGTGCACCGTGACGTGGAAGAAGGAAGTCTATATAGGTCGCACCGCGCCGGGGCCATTCATGCCGCCCTATTTCAGTCCTTCACGGGCGGGCATGGCCCAAACACGTAAGATGGCATGGCCCGGAAGAGGGCCCAGTTGTCGGGACGACAACTGGACGTCGTCGGATGCTGACGGCTCCACACAGGTGGACGAGGAGGTGGGAAATCCTTCACAACATTCGTTTTGCGAAGCGCACCTATACCAGGACCCCTCCTAAGGGGTGGATCATGGACACCCCGAATCACCCCGAAAGGGGCTATTAGACACCCCTGGTCCGGGTGTCCTGGTATAGCTGCTTCTTCCTTTCGTGACTGAATACTATGGATCATGGACCCATGGACCCATGGACCCATGACCGGTGGATGGTGGCAAACCCGTTGGGTTTGGTTTGGTCGCCTTAGAAGAAGCGAGTGGGAGCCGACCCATCGGACCGTCCGAGGACGACACGGACCGACGGACGATGGACGTGAGTTCGAAAACGACTTGAAAGCCTTCGTGTGTTGGGGGTCATTCGGAGTACTTCCCTTAGGACCCCGAGAACTGCATCTTCCCGTTTTGGAGCATTTTCCGAATTGCAACATAAGTAGACTCTTGATTCAGATTGAAACACCTCTTCATATGACATGAATGGTTTATGATGGTTTCATTCATCAAGAGTCTAATCCATGCTGCGAAAGGGCATGTCATGTCTTCGCCTGCCTCTCGTCACACATCGCCTATCTCGACCTGAACCGGTCGAGACCTCGACGAACCGCTCGCTCCGCGGTCTGTGGTCGGTCCCGGATCCGAGGACTCGACAAAGATCGAAGCGGATATTTTCCTGCAGCGCTCGTTTTGGCTGCGCAATCTCACCATCAGCCCAGCAGCCGTCGCTCGGGTACTTCCAAGCACCGGGACAGGTCCAGAAAGGAGGAACACCGTATACGGCCCAAGTTGGGGGCCCATACATTCCTCGTTTTTGTTGGATGAATTCATGTTGGATGTACTGTATGCGTTTGGTCCTAGAAGGTGTGCAACCAGGCAAGCGAAGGCATAGGACCGGACTTAGATTCAGATTGTTGAGCCACTTTGTAACCCCGTCCGTTCCTAGAACAGCAACGTTTTTTTGAAGTGTTGCATTTGCCTGAAGTGCAGGGACACTGGGTGCCGCTTCCAGGGTAGACCATTTTTTCAACTCGCTGCGCTGCGTGCTCAATGATTTTTGCCATGTTTGGTGCCACGCTGCGTTTTGGTTCTAACTTCAACCTATGTATAGCGATTGTAAGTTGCTGTTCATTTCTTTCTCTCGATTGTTTCTCGGATCGCCGCGCTGGCCGTTGGTTCGCCGGTGTCGGCACGTGGATGCCTCGCCCCCGGCCCACCTGAACTGCAGTATCGACCGGACCTATCGTGCACAAGGAACAAGGAAAACGAGGGTCTTTCCAGGCAAAATAAAGGACAAAAGACAACACACTAAAGGGGTCTTTCCAGACCTGTCAACTAGAGAAAGTCAACAGGGACAACTCGGTTCAGACTTCGGTCCGGTGCATCTGTTTGTCCCACTTGCCTCACAGGGACTCACCGAACAACGATCCCAGGCTTCACTGCTCACGGCGCTCGCTCCACCGGGCTTGAACTTCACACGGGTCTTCATCAGCGATGCGAAGGCGCTTTGGCCGTCGGCGCCGGGACCACCGAGTTTTCGGAGCGTGGCCGGTGTAGGCGGACCGTCGATGCGGAGGGTGCGGTGTTTGGAGGAGCCGGCAACTGATGGTTTCGGCGACGGATGGTTTCGGTGACCGGACTTCGCTTGAGGGTAAACCTGGTCTTTTGGTCAGGTCAGCACCGTGTTTGGAGGACGGTCCGGCATGAGATCAGATGTGGGTAGGACCCTTGAAACTCTTTCATGTCGTGAAGAAAGAGCAAAGATTGACTCAACACAGATCACACATGATCACAATTGATCACACATGAAGAAACCTCACCCAGTTGGGTTTGCCTGGTCTTGTTGGCGTTGCTCATATTTAACCCCCGGTGGTATTTGGCGGATGGCCCTCCGGTCCACCGACTGGCCGTGGCCAGGTGTCGTGGAACAATCTCATGGCCCTCGACTCCAGTCCCATCGTCGTGGAGATCGCCGCTGGGTCGAAGTCAGGTCTGGCGCATCCGGCGGCCAGAGTGTATCTTTCCCGATCGGGATCCGCTTTCGTACCGAACCTCAGGTTCGGTACGACTGGACCCTCCCCAGGCACCTACAGAACAGTGCCGAACCCATCACCGTACCTGAGGTTCGGTACGACTGGATCCCTAGGGAGAAAACACCACCAGGGCAAGGTGAACCAAGTGTCCACATCAAGTGAGTCGGTCTCGTGGCGATGTAGTTCGACCTGCTCTCTACTTGTAGGTGAGAACCCATTTTACCCATCATGTTCAATTCACATTCGTAAAACCCCCCCTCCACCCCTATGAAAAAAAAACAAATCTGGCTTTTTTGGAGGTCAAACATCTCAATTTCAATAGAACACCTCCAGGCCATTTGGCAGAGGGGATGTGGAATGTAGACTAAAAGTAATTCAAACTCAATTTCCCCAATTGAATTCCAACTGCAGGGGGTTTATTATTGTAGGTTAAGATCCCACAAAAGAAGAAAAATAAAGAAGAAGAAGAAAGGATAAATTAAAAGCAAAAAAGGCACATTGGGATCTGAGAGAAACAACTGATTTTTATTGTCTCAGGTTTATAGTTGACTGGCAATTTGTTTAAATCCATTTTGGGATCTGGATTAAAAGTAGTATTGCAACATCCTGGCAGGCCAAAAACCAGTTTATTGTTGACGCCTGGTTTACTCATGTGAATTCTACATTACACTCCATGTGTGGGATTCACATATATACATATATATGCCTACATTGACCACCAAAACCACCCCAACTGATTGGCATATATGGCATACATGGAGCGTCTGGGTTAAATGTAAATGCATGTAAATACCATATGGTTTTGAGTCAACACCAGCCCCAAAATCCTGGTCGATTCTGTCCATGTTCGGAAAATCCCGGGTCCTCTGGTTCTGACCCAGAGCCATAAATCGAGTCATGAGTCATAAGCCGATGTTATCGCCCTGTTCCTCGCCACTGCTTCGAGTGAAGTGAGCGCTCTTCACCGAACCCAGGACCGAATCTCAGCAGAAGCCAGTGAGCTACCTGCTGGTGGGGAAGAAGAGGACAGGGCTGCAAAGAAATGTTTTCAGAGCTTCGATTTTCGCATGTCCCCAACGATGTCTTTGACATGGGAGTCGATATAGACCACCGACATGGGAGATTGTGCCACCAACCAACTGAAACCACGAAACCACTGCATCTTGATTGAGGCGGTGCACGCAGTAAGACAACTTGTCCAAGGAAACACCGCTGGAAGAGACTGGGTGAAACACAGCGAACGAAAACACTGGAGATGGACAGCTTGAGCTGCAGCACTTGCTGAGAATCTGATGCTTGTACACAAAAACACATCCACACTCAACAAATCCCACCAGCTGAATCCACATCAAAGAACTTGGGGAAACCTGGAGTACTTTCTCCATGGACTCTCTTGCGTTGCTCACCCATCCCAACGTTTTCACTTGGGTGACCCACCGCTCGAACCGCTCGTCGCGAAGCTCGAGATCGCTCAACGGTGGCTACGGGTGATGTGGGCAGGTGGAAGACTTGATCCGTCAATGGCTGGATGTGTGTGGTGGTGTCCAGCCAGATCCATTTACAGGCGATGGTGTGGCGCATGTGATGGGGTGGAGCAGGGGTGGAGCAGCAGTGTGTTCTTTTTGGGGGGGGACGCAAAAGCGCTACAAGTGGGGTGCGCGGACGGAAGAGCCAGGAGTGCGGGACGCTCCATGTCTAGAGTGCAATCACTATCACTAGCTGATTGCTCAGGAGGGAGCCATGAAACAGGGGAGGCGTTCAGAGCGACCACGGGAGTCTCCAAGCCCTTGCGAGATAAGGTCCCAACCTACTAGCGATAGCCTCCAACCTACTAGCGATTCGCTGACCCACACTAGTCCACACACTCCACGTCATATTGTCAACCACCCCAATGTTTTTGAAACGGTCAGGCCGTAAATGCGGCGCTGACGGCCGCCGCCTAACGCGTCAGGCCGTTATCCGCTCTTGGATGCAGCCACCTTCCGCGTGCACCACGTGGACCTCACCATCACGAGCCCGGCCCGGTATGGCTTCCTGTCCGTGTCCTTGCGAGGCTGAACGGCGCCGAACGGAACCGGGGGGGACGGGGGAGACCACAGGGATCGCTGTTGGAAGCCTGGCGGCCTGGCGCTGCGTTTAGATAGTTTGTACACCTGGACCCGACTTTAAGGACGACTCTAGAAAATGGGACATGGCCATGGCCCCATAGAAACGGGTAGATCTGCACCCACTTTCCGAGGTACTTGACGAGGCTCCAGGCATATGTATTGCAGTAATATAGTAAAATTCCCACGTTTGGGGTCAGTGACGATGTTTTTTCCCAGACGCTCCATGTATGCCATACATGCCGATCAGTTGGGGTGGTTTTATTGGGGGTCAATGTAAGCATATATATATATAGCATACATGGAGTGCTTGGGTAAGTAACATTCTTACAAACGGACTAGGCGCCCCACTACAAAGAGGAGTCCTTTGGGGAAAGAAGATCTTTTTCGAAACTCACTGCCTTGGCCACGAGAAACACCTGCTGGTAGCTCTTGATGTACTTTGCAGCCACATCGCCATGGAAATGGACATGCGTTCGGGCGAACTGCGTTCTCGCTCTTGCGCTGTTCTCCCTTCACCTCCAGGGCTGGAGGTGAAAGCCGTGAACAAGGATGGCCAACAGCAAGACTTGTCACCTGGCCTTCATGGAGCGCTCGCTGCCCGCCTTTCCGGGGTCTCCCTCCGACCGCTTCACGGCTGGCGCCCGAGGCTGCACATGCTGGAACGGTCCCAGGACTGGGAGAACAACGCCATTACGATGTCGCGCTTGGTGGAGTGTAGCCAGGTGTGGTGCTGCTGGGCTGTAGCCAGAGTTGCCCGCTTCGGCGCGGTGTTGGTTACATGGTTGGTGCTTCAAGAGTAGACTCCCCGAATTCGGCGCACAAGGCACAATGTCATGAGGAGGTTTTCAGGGATGAAGAGCCGCGAAGCAACCAGGAGGCTTTCTGAAATCAACCACCGCCTTGCTGGTCAGGCATCAGCCCGCTACCTGAAATCTGGCAACTTGACTCGCATCGGGTGTTCTTTGCTAGTTGAATACCTTCCTTTTAACCCAATTGCGATGGCCTCCAACCTACTAGCGATGGCCCCCAACCAACCTAATAGCCATGTCCTCCAACCTTCACTAGCAATGGAAGTGAGGCTGCATTGCCTGGAAAGGAGTCAGCACTTGGAAAAGAAGTGAGCACGTGGAGATTCCAATCAGAAACTGCCCGAGACAAGAAGTTTTGTGCCCAAATGAGATCAAAGCTTCTTTGCTCCAAGACGTCTAGATATTTACACCCTGGAAGATCAACAGTTTAACATGGAACCTGAAAATCACCGGTTTGTGGAGGAAGCTAGTCTTCCATGTTCATCTTCAGGTGTTGCATATCATGCCTGCACATCCTGCCTTCTGCCGTACCTCCCTCCCCCTACGTGCTGCACGTGGAAACCAACCCTTCGCCCGAGGAGTAGGGCTGCAAGATGGACACTTCAGCGATTACTTGCCGCTTGGACCGCCGACCGCCCCACCCCTTCGCCGCCGCGGAAGACGCCGGAAGACGCGGGAAGACAGACGTGGACCCGCCGGGGCAGCGGCACCGTGGGTCTTCAGGGCACTGCACGCGCTTCCGCGACGGCGTCCGGAAGGGCTCCTCGAACCGGGCCAAGGTGGACCATCCAAAACTGAATTTGCACGCCGAATCGCTGCTTGCCAGTTGCAATCAGGTTGGAACCCACACCTCTTAGCCTGCTTTTGCAGCAAGTGAAGAATGCGTCTTGTTTGCAGAGAGAGAGAGAGTTGCAAGCTTATCTTTTAGCCGTTTCCTTGTTTTAGCCAAGATGTTAGCCTCAGATTCTGCCAGGGTCAAAGGGTCTGGTTCCCCCAAAGCTGTGAGTGCATAGTATACTAGATCTTGTGTGGGATGTGTCAGTGATCTTCACCAATCCTCGTCCATTCAGACGAAGGGTTTCCAACCTGGTCGCCGAAAGGTGTCAGATATGCGGCAGATCTTCAAGCAGCGCTATACTGTTTCGCTTCTCAGCCTAAGCTGCAGAGCCATGTCGGACTTTGTGTTCCTTTCAGCATATCGCTGTATTGACCATCATACTAATATAGTAATATTTGTGTTTTTCATTTTTTATCTAAACGTGACCTGTGTTCTCCTAAAGTTGCAGAACACAGGGATTTCAACTCTTTGCAAGTTCTTCTCCATCCCATCGCATAAGACACATAGACCACATAATGACACTATGGATGTGATTCTTCCACTTGCTTGAGAAGAGCTACCTGGTATACGATCTACAACCTTTTACTCTTTCCTACCCATGGCACAAACAGCTCACCCCGCTCTCCACCTTCCAGCTTCTCAGGGTACCCAGTGGTCGCTTGTTGCTTTTGGGCCCCTTGGCCGGAGAGCAGACCGAAGACCTCCCAGACGTCCCAGCGGATCCACGGCTCTGTCCCTTCGACGTTCCCACGCCCGAATGGCACCTCGGCAGCACCGGGGTGGCCGGGCGTGTTCGGCGCGCGTGGATTGGTTTCAATGGACCATTCCCATGAAGAAAAGCATGAAAACACGAACGGTACCGCCTTCGGGCTATGCATGCTGATCGTTCATGATCGCACTATACAGTCGTTTCTTCGAACATATGCTGTTCATTCTCGGCTTCCCAATCGGATCACGCCGCTTGCTCATACCGAGGCGAATCCAAATGGCCAGCCGCGATCAATTCGATTGGATCTTTTCGGCATGGACCCTTGAAGCAGTTGGTGAAGTGGTGGGCACAGCAAAACGCGCAAGACCTGACGGAAAGATCAGCCTGAATAGGGGTATTTCTTCCGAAAAGGACCAGCAAAAAAACAAAAAAAAGGAGGTCTAAGTCTAAGGGTTTCTGCAGATGTCGAATAGCATCGATTAGAAGACACATGAGCAGTCGAACGATTATATGATCAATGATTATTATGATTGTTCTATGTGCACTCTGACATAAGGAACTATGGGCACGAACCAGATGGAATTAGATATGATCGATTGCCCAGAGAGAACCCACTCGACTCTGGTCAACTTCCAGCAATCAACTTCCGCCGAGGATGAGTCAGCCGACGGCAAAGCATCGACCTTGGAGTTTGTGGAGGGATGAGTCTGAAGTGGAAAACGGAACATGGAACATGACGTTACCCAGGTGCTGGACCTGAAGGAGAAAGACACACATTGGACAAATATAATGGCCTCCAACCTAGAAGCAATGGCCTCCAACATGACATGACCCAAAGACGAAGGTAGTTCATAGGTAGTAAATAGATGGTTCAGGTGCTTTGTTTTAGTGCAAACTGAGACTCCAGATGACTCCGGGTAGTTGACAGTTGTATCATCTTCGCCCCATGTTGTACTCCTCGGCGCCACGCCATGAGGACGGTTGCAGTGGCAAGCATGGGTGTTGGAATGGCAGTGGCTCGTCCGCGAACTGAAAAAGAAGAACAGACGACTTCGGCCGATTTCGGCCGATTTCGGCCGTGATAGGCCGAAAGATGTAGTCTCTAAACCTGGCTCCTTGGCTGTTGGTTTTTCCCTTCCATCTATGAAACCAGCCAAGTCAAGCAGAAGATTTGCAGGAAGATGCATGGTATTTCTCGTCCAAGTGTTTTGCCTCACCATTTCGCTAGTCTCAGGTGGGAGTGTTTTTCCTACTTTGCCTGGCCAGCAACTGCTTTGTTACAGTGAGGCGGGGGACCTTGTTGCAGCTTTGAAGGTTTCGTTTCCGGGAAATTCGTTGCGTGGTGCGGGCAGGCCTAGACCTTGGTTTCGAAGCATCCTGGCAGAGAAAGGTCTGGCACTGGACATGTCTGAGCCGTCCAATTTCGCCAACAAAACAAGAGAACACATCTCTTTGTAACAATCTCATGAAGAAAACGATGGAGAAAGAGAGAGAGAGAGAGAGAGATCTCTCTTTGTGATGTGATAAGTTTGCTTGAGACCTTTTTGTCCGAGTCGTTTTCCGGCCTTACGAGTTCAAAACCGCATGTTCGTGATTGGACCGACCGAGGATGTTTCATCAAGTTGACCACTCGCCAACTCCTACCCTGGTTGTGAGACCGACCGGAGACCGGTCCGTTGTGACCTGGCGGGTCGTGACTGGTGATCGACTGGGGGGTGCCAAAAGGAATGGTCTCGATAGATCACAAAGGAAGGTCGAGAGAAGTGAGAAGAGGATCAATCAGATGCATGTCATGCATGTCGATAGGTTGGAGAGGCGCCGGCGTCGGCGTCGACCCAACAGATCCTTTTCGATTGAACGTTTCTCAGTCCCTATAGTCCGTGCTCCCAGTAGTAAGGCCAGGAGGTGCGTTCGTAGCGAACCTTGTTCTTCGTAGCGATGCCAGGAGCCCCGAACGTAGCGTCCCTTTGATCAGAAGTGGATAGAAGTGGTCAGCACGTCCAAGGACGAGGACGCAATTCCACCGGGGACGAGGACGGATTGGTTCACCTTTGGCGGGTCTCTGCCGAAAGTGCAAACTTCACCTGGTTTGGTCCGGATGTTCCACCTCGTTCTCGTTCGTTCTCGTCGTTCGTTCTCACATGTGACGGTGGGGGCATGTCATCGGAACTGTTTTCTTGTCTCAAAGGGCACATGAACAGAAGGGACTACTGTACCAGGGTAGGGAGGTCAATCTACAAGGGTTTGGGGGGTTGGATGTTACAGGATTTGACCCACAGCCATGTAACAATTCCCAACGAGAAATGGACAGCCTGGGCCACGCCCCCAATGCTTTCAAACCTGAGCATCCCCAAAAACCCGCGAGCGCCCGCGACAAGCCACTGCCTTCTGTGAAAGGGATTTGCTTCAGTAGCCTGACTTCGTGTTGTGTAATAAACTTTCAGGAAGGCAGTGAGGTGAGCTGTGCCGCACGTGGATTTCAATCACGGTTGTGCGAAAAAGGCAGCCAAGACGAGGCCACAAACCACGGTGGGGCATACATGGAGTAAATACCCTAGAAGTCCAAAGACTATACTTTGACCGACTGAAGTAAAGCATATTCCTTTTCGGGTCACCTAAAGACAATTAATAGTCTTTGACTCCCAGGGAATACATTGGAGCACTGTTTTGTGTGTACACAGTGTGTGTATGTGTTCCATATATATATATGTGTTCCATGTGCATAGGATTGCATAGGCATAGGGGTTCGAAAGCCTCCAGGTAGAGTTCGTGACTCGTCGTTGCATCCTGCGAAGAAAGGCGAATCGTCTTGCTAGAAGCAGTGTAGTTTATAGCCACACACCGGCCAGAAGTGTGACATGACCTGGGAGAACCTTGGACATTGCCGGGGCTTTCGAGCTAGCTATATGGCTTGGGCCTGTCCTAATTACCTGTCACAGTCGGCAAAGAGTTATCATGTTAGAGGAAGGCCCCAGGAATGGCCTTTATAACCATCATCATCCACTGGGTTGCCAAGCTAAGACGCAGCTAGGTCGTAGGGGGCTGCATGTGGTATTATCGGCCCGGCCCGGGAATCAGCACTTGTGGTCTAGGCTCTTTGCGAAGCGAAAAGGGCAACTGCGTAATCTCATGATGCGCGCAGGCATCGCTTGAACTCGAAAAGGAGCTCCCTTGAGATAAAAGAGTGCAATGTGCCAAGCAAGAGTAGGGAATGAAAGTCGTCCGTTTTGTTCTAATTATGCTGGAGGTCATTGCTATTAGGTTGGAGGCCATTGCTCTTAGGTTGGAGGCTGTCGACGGATGTTTTCGCCCCAAACCGGCTTCGACCTCGTAACGACCTCGTCGTTGCCGCGGAACGGACGTCGACTCATCCGACACGCGAGGCGGAGAGAGCGTGGGCCAGAGGACGGAGGACAGGGAGCAACGATGAGGTGAGGTGACCAAGAGTGTTCCAATGAAAGAACCGGGCGCTTTTGTGAGAAATGGGGGACCAGAAACATGAGGGATCGCTAAAGAAGGAACCAGAAAAAACCGAAGAAGAAGATCGCTCAAACGAACGGCGGCGCGCGCTTCCGCTGCGCGCGCGTCCGGGATCGGTGCGAAGCGCTACCTCGACCGACCGGAACCGGACCGGAACGTTTGGCCGATCGGGTGGACGTCCCTTCGCAGGTGCCTTAAAGGGCGAGCAGAGCTGACGCTGTCCCAGACGCATGTGCGACGAAACAAGATCGAGGCTATTGGAGGGTGATCGGAACGAAGGTGATC